TTAGTAGTTAGTTAGTAGTTAGTTAGTTAGTTAGTTAGTAGTTAGTTAGTTAGTTAGTTAGTTAGTAGTTAGTTAGTTAGTTAGTTAGTAGTTAGTTAGTTAGTTAGTTAGTTAGGTAGTTAGTTAGTTAGTTAGTTAGTTAGTTAGTTAGTTAGTTAGTAGTTAGTAGTTAGTTAGTAGTTAGTTAGTTAGTTAGTTAGTAGTAGTAGTTAGTTAGTTAGTTAGTTAGTTAGTTAGTTAGTTAGTTAGTAGTTAGTAGTTAGTTAGTTAGTTAGTTAGTTAGTTAGTTAGTTAGTTAGTAGTTAGTTAGTTAGTTAGTAGTTAGTTAGTTAGTTAGTTAGTTAGTTGTTCGTTGCGTTCGTTTCGTTCGTCTTTCGTTCGTTCGTTTCGTTTCGTTCGTTCGTTCGTTCGTTCGTTCTGTTCGTTCGTTCGTTGCGTTCGTTCGTTCGTTCTTTAGTTCGTTTGTTTCGTTAGTTCGTTCTTTCGTTCGTTCGTTCGTTCGTTTTAGTTTCGTTCGTTCGTTCGATTCGTTAGTTTCGTTCTTAGTTCGTGCCGTTCCGTTTGTTTTTCTTAGTTCGTTTCGTTGTTTCGTTCGTTTGTTCGTTCGTTCGTTAGTTCGTTCGTTTCGTTCGTTGTTCGTTTCGTTCGTTTTATTCTGCCTCCGGCTGCCCTCTGCTGCTCTGCCAAACACCCGGCATTAACTTTGCCCATTGTTCTGCTTATTTAACCCTTTAACCATATTAATATATATAAAAGTAATTTAATTACCTATTTTTATACCTTTTACTTTTACTTCCTCAAAACTTAATTGTTTTTAAATAGTTAATAATTGTCTAAATCTGTCGCTTTAAAGACAGATAAACAAAAAATCTCATAATAAAAGCAAACATCTTAAAAAATTATCAATTATTGTTTTAAAAGAAGGTCTCCAAAACTTTAAATTATTCATACTTAATTTAACATACTTTTTAAATTATTACTTTTTTCGTAACAAAATTTGTTCCCTAAAAACTTTGTTTCTCTATTTGTAACTAACTTAAGCAGATCATGAACAATAGACAAACCCAAACAAATAGCAAGAAACCAACACTAATATTTGTTAAACAATACTATTTTAATGACACCCCATACATTTAGTAGACCGGTTATAAGATCTGTTGTTTTTTTTTTTTTTGGTTTTGAATTGAAAGTCTAAAACTATTTGGCTAAAAGCAAAAAAACTTTGTTAGTGATTTTAGTAGATATTTGTTGTTTTATTATGATGAAAACCCGGTTGCAAAAACTTACAAGAAAAAAAAACACACAAATAAAAGTGGAACGAAAAAGCCGCATTATGTTTAACAATAAAACCAACAACAAATGAAAAATAATAATAATGAAAAAAAAAATACAAACGTTAATAAAATAGAAGCAGGCCAATGAAATCTTAAAAGAAATAATACACAATTTTAAACAAACATACATTTGTATGTATATAAAACTTAGTTAGAGTTTAAGACAAAAACACTTGCATTTTACAGTTTGAAATAAAATCAGACGACCGTATGAAATAGCAACAACAAAATAACAAAGCTACTGCACATATAATATAGTGCATAATATTTTTAAATAATAATAATAATAATAAAAAGTTAAATAAAAAACTAAAATTATAACATTCACAAAATATACTTCACATTCATAGTTAAATATGAAAAAATAGCATTCACTTTTTTTTATTACCAAATATGAATTTTTGTTGGTTTTATACACATACATACATACTATTTATATTACCGTCATAAACAACAACATCTTATAATAAAATCATATTAATTTCTTTTAAATTATATTTACGTAATTTATTAATTATATTTTTTTATTAAATAGAAAAAAAACAATTAAATATTTCTTCTAAAGCTAATCATGACTCAAATGTTTCTTATTAAAACAAAAGACTTAAGATGCATACTTGTTGATATAACAGTTCAAACAGCTAGAGCAAAGTATTTTTTTATTTAATTTCTTAATTAATTGTTTACATATAAGGAAATGTATTAAAAACAATTATATTAATACCAGTTATAAAATAAATATATAAATACTGGCGTCAATTCTCGGATGTGTGTTTATGCATAAATATAACTAAACAAGTTACTTTTTAAAGCCATTTAAATGTATATTCTTAGAACAACGTGAATGTTTTAAAAGATTAGATTTAAACAAAACGTATTTGGAAAATATATTTTGTTATATATAGGAGTGGTTTAGTTTTATAGAAAATTTGGTAACAATATTGTAGCTGTTTAAAAAGCTAGTGTCAAGTGTTATAGAAAAGAAAAGGGAAAAATATTTAAATAGATTATTTGACAGCTAAACGTATTAAGCACTTTAGATAAGAATATCATATCAATTTCCTTTTAAAGTTTTGGAAAACCGACAGATTCTTTCTTAAAAAATATTAATCTAGTTTTGAAAACAGAATATTAAAACAAAGAAACAAATTTATAAAAATGGGGAATTTAAACAAATTTTCTATAAATAGAGAATTAATCTAAAATATTCTATAGAGAAACTTATAAAGAATTTACAAATTTATGGAAACATTGTTCATAATCTGTATTTTTTTTAATCTGGTAACTTTTTCTATAGAAAAATTTTCTAAAAATCTTTATTCTATAAAATTGTTGCTCAGAATCTAACAACTTTTTCTATGGAAAAGTTGCTCAAAAACTGAAAAGTTTTCTTATATAAAATTGGTGGAAATTGACAACTTTATCTGCAGAAAAATTGCTCAGAATCTGCCAACTTTTTTTATAGAAAAAATTTCTTCGAATTTGTCAACTTTTCTAAACAGAAGTTGCTCAGCATCTGATCACTTTTTCTAAAGAAAATTTGCTCAGAGTCCGACAAGTTTTACTATGCTCAAAATCTGACAACTTTTTCTATGGAAAAGTTGATCAACATCTGAAAACTTTTTCTGTAGAAAAGTTGCTCAGAATCTGACAACTTTTTCTGTAGAAAAGTTGCTCAAAATCTGACAACTTTTTCTATAGAAAAGTTGCACAGGATCTTACGACTTTTTCTGTAGAAAAGTTGCCCAGAATCTGACGACTATTTCTGTACAATATTTGCTCAGAATCTGACAACTTTTTCTATAGAAAAGCTGTTCAGCATCTGAATCTGTAGAAAAGTTGCTCAGAATCTGACAACTTTTTCCATAGAAAAGTTGCTCAGAATCTGACAATTTTTCGGTAGAAAAGTTGCTCAGAATCTGACAAATTTTTTTATAGAAAAGCTGCTCAGATTCTGACAAAAGTTGCTCAGAATCTGTCAACTTTTTCTATAGGAAAGCTGCTCAGAATCTGAATCTGTAGAAAAGTTGCTCAAATCTGACAACTTTTTAAGTACAAAAGTTACTCAGAATCTGAATCTGTAGAAAAGTTGCTCAGAATCTGACAACTTTTCCGTAGAAAAGTTGCTCAGAATCTGACAACTTTTTATGTACAAAAGTTGCTCAGAATCTGATAAATTTTTCTATAGAAAGCTGCTCAGATTCTGATAAATTTTTCTATAGAAAAGCTGCTCAGATTCTGACAACTTTTTCCGTAGAAAAGTTGCTCAGAATCTGACTTTTTCTATAGAAAAGCTGCTCAGAATCTGAATCTGTAGAAAAGTTGCTCAGAATCTGACAACTTTTCCGTAGAAAAGTTGCTCAGAATCTGACAACTTTTCCGTAGAAAAGTTGCTCAGAATCTGACAACTTTTTATGTACAAAAGTTGCTCAGAATCTGATAAATTTTTCTATAGAAAGCTGCTCAGATTCTGATAAATTTTTCTATAGAAAAGTTGCTCAGAATCTGACAACTTTTCCGTAGAAAAGTTGCTCAGAATCTGACAACTTTTTATGTACAAAAGTTGCTCAGAATCTGATAAATTTCTCTATAGAAAGCTGCTCAGATTCTGATAAATTTTTCTATAGAAAAGCTGCTCAGATTCTGACAACTTTTTCCGTAGAAAAGTTGCTCAGAATCTGATAAATTTTTCTATAGAAAAGCTGCTCAGATTCTGACAAAAGTTGCTCAGAATCTGACAACTTTTTCTATAGAAAAGCTGCTCAGAATCTGAATCTGTAGAAAAATTGCTCAGAATCTGACAACTTTTTATGTACAAAAGTTGAATCTGAATCTGTAGGAAAGTTGCTCAGATTCTGACAACTTTTTCCATAGAAAAGTTGCTCAGAATATGTCAATTTTTCCGTAGAAAAGTTGCTCTGGATCTGATAAATTTTTCTATAGAAAAGCTGCTCAGATTCTGACAACTTTTTCTATAGAAAAGCTGCTGAGAATCTGAAAACTTTTTCCATAGAAAAGTTCCTCAGATTCTGACTTTTTCTATAGAAAAGCTGCTCTAAATCTGGCAACTTTTTCTATAGAAAAACTGATCAGAATCTGGCTTTCTCTATATTAAGACCTTTGTTTATTGAGTCATATTAAATGATTTATTAAATATTTATTGCAAAATTATACACACTGGTAATACTAGTAAAACCTACTAATAGTAATTAACCTTTTTTTGCAAATAATTATAGTTTCGCAAATGTGAAGAAAAAAAAACAGACTAATGAGTTTCAAATGATCTCAAATTAAGACACTAAATTTGGTGTTAAACAAATTTAGTCAATTTAGTAAGCATTATTTATATTTTTTTTTTTTTTTTTTGCAATATTTTATGGCTGGTTAAGAAAGTTTACTTTAATTTAAGTTAATAAATACACCAAAGAATAGAATTACTAGAAAATTTATGCTCTAAAAACTTAGCTATACAATTATTTTAAAGTAATTTACTTAAAAATCATGACTCCAGAGGCATGTTAGAATGAATGAAAGAATGAATAATTTTTTTTTCTTTTTGTTGCAAATTATATTAAATTTCTAAAATATGTTTTCAAAAGAAAACCACGAAAATAAGTAACAAATTTAATTGATTTTGTTTTTCTTTTTCTAACGATTTCATTTTAGAATGGTGAAAATATGGAACGTGGCTGTGATGAACGTTGTACTTGTAATCGTGGCGAATGGATTTGTTCACCCCGTTGTATGGGTAAAACATTTAAACGTGGCACTATGCAAATGTCTTTGGAAAATGAGCAGACAAATTGTCGTGAAATTGCCGTAGAAGATGATGAGTGCTGTAGCATGATGGAATGTGTCACAGCCGAGGAATCATTTTTGCCTACGCAATCAACAGCTGAATCAATGAATGGTAAGTGTAAAGGGAAATTAATATGTTTGTTTGTTTGTTTTTTTTTTAACGCAAAAAAGGTAAAGTATTGTTAGTTATTATATAGAGTAACATAGTAAACAAAAGCAAACAATTTGCTAATACTTCCTTATAAATTTAGTTTTAAGTTATATATATATTAGTTCATTTTTTAGTGGGGATATTTGTCATACATATTTCTATATCATATTTAGCTTATAATCATTGCTTTTTGTTATTATGTCTTTGGTTGTATCAAATGTTAATCTCGTTTTTAATTTCATTTCATATTCATTCAAACAAAAAAAACACACAACACACAAACTGCCATCCAAATTATAAAATTTCAAACAAACAAAAAAAAATTGAAAAAAAAAATACAGCTTCAACACATAAAACACGTCTTGATTGTCATTATAATGGTGGTATTTATAAATTCCGTGAACGTTTGGAAATTGGCTGTGAACAGATTTGTCACTGTGATGAAGGAGGCATAATGAATTGTAAACCCAGATGTCCTGAACGTAATCACACACGTCTGGACAAGTGTGTATTTGTTAAGGATCCCAAAGATGTGTGTTGTCAGTTGGAATTGTGTGATGTTACTTTGGATGATCACGAACAAACACCTTCCCCTCCCACGGCTCATAATTCTATAGGTGATGATGGTTATGGTTTTCAAGAGGGTCGTGATGTTGATGGCGCTGTTTCGGACGCTGTTTGTGAATATAAGGGTCAAATGTATACCGATGGCAAACAATTCCATGATGGTTGTGAACAATTGTGTATATGTACACGAGAGGGTGTTCATTGTGCTAAACTACAGTGTCCCTCAACATTTGGTTTGGATGTCTTGAATCCTCACTGTTTGAAATGGGAACCAGAGCCGGCAAATTTCAAACCAGAAGCTCCCAACTGTTGTCCCGATAGCATGCGTTGCATGGACAATGGTACTTGTACCTATAGGGGACAAGAATTTGAAAATTGGTCTCAAATACCCACTAATCTAACAGGTAAGACCGTCCTAACTTTAACATTTATCATTATAACCCACACCAAAAAAAAAAAAAAAAAACAACACCTATTAACTCTCTCTTCCCCCCTTTCATTCCTCATACACATTGTTTTGCCTCATTGTGCATTTATTAGGCTGTGAACAACATTGTTATTGTGAAAATGGCAAAGTAGAATGCCGTCCTGCTTGTCCTCCGGTTTTGGCTCTACCACCAGCCGATTTGGGCTGTCACATCTCTCAGGCCCGTCTAGTACCCATACCCGATGATGAATGTTGCAAACATTGGTCTTGTACTGCTTTCGAAACCGGCAGACCCTACAATGGCCAAGACAACGAAAGCAAAGAGAAGGAAGAAGAGGATGAGGAAGAAATATCGGCTGAACACCAGGGCCATAATGGTAAATATGATGCATTGGTTTTACTTAACGTTGTATTTTACGTTGCATGTACTTGTGTGAAAAGCTTTTTTTGCCTTTGTTTCTTTTTGAATGTGAAACATGCAAATAAGTAAATATCACTAATATGGGTCCAAGGAGGTTAAACAACCGGCTTAGTTTGCTTGTGGTTTTTTTGTAGAATTTATATTGAATATTAAATATTTTTTTTGCTATATAAATATATATTTATTTGGAAAAGGAAGGTTTTGAATTAAATAATATTATGGAAACAAGGCGACATTAATTCATGATACCCCTGAGGCTTAAATACCACAAACTGACTAAACTGTTACGTTTTCATACAGAAAAATTGCTCAAGTTACATCTGACTTTTTATAAACTTTTTCACAGAAAAGTTGCTCAAAAACTGTCAACTGTTTCTAGCAATGTGGTCTAGTAACTGACAAATTTTTGTATAGAAATGTTGCTCAAAAAAAGTTTAACTTTTTCTACAGAAAAGTTGTACAGAATCTGGCAACTTTTTCTATAAAAAATGTGTCAGAAACTAAGAACTTTCCCTATAGAAAAGTTGGTCAGAAACTAATAACTTTTCCAATAAAAAAGTAGCTCAAAAACTGAAAACTTTTTCAATAGAAAAGTTGCTTAGAAACTGAAAATTTTTCTATAGAAAAGTTGCTCATAAACTAAAAACTTTTTCTACGGAAAGTTGGTCAGAATCTGACAACGTTTCATATAGAAAAGTTGTAAGAAACTGACAACATTTTCTATAGAAACAATTTTTGGAAACTGACTACCTTTTTATAAAAAAGTTGCTCAGAATTTAACTGTTTTTCATAAAAAAAGTTGCTCAGAAATTGACAATGTTTTTTTATAGAAACGTTGCTCAGAATTTATCTACATAAAAGGTGTTCAGAATCTGAAATATTTTTCTATTGAAAAGTTGCTCAGAATCCGACAACTTTTGCTATAGAAAAGTTGCTTAGACTCAGTCAACTCTTTCTGTAGACAAGTTGCTCAGACTCTAACAACTTTTTGAATAGAAAAGTTGCTCAAAATCTGACAACTTTTTTTATAGAAAAGTCGCTCCGAAAAAATAGCTTTTCCTTCAGAAAAGTTGCTTAGAAACTGACAACTTTTTCTTGCTCAGAATCTAATAACTTTTAAAGAAAATTTTCTCAGAATTTTGACAACTTTATCTATAGAAATGTGTTTCAGGATCTGAAAATATTTCCTGAAATAATTTTCCTTCTTTGGAATCCTATTTGAAATAACCTACAAGTGACTAACTGGTTAATTCCTCCTTTTGCATGAGACCCATATTACACAAATGTCTAATATTTTGTTAAAAAAAATTCTCACTTCTACTGAATGTGTGTTTTCTCCTTCTATTCGATCATTGAATGCATTTTGATTAAAAATCATCTGACATCTGACATAAAATCAACTAAATTAAAAATTAAACATTTATCTAAATGCTAAATGAATTTCATAAAATTACTATATTTCCTTTTTACTCTTTATATTACTACATATTTAATAATATTTGTTTTATAATTAAAAAACTCTTTTATTTTTTATATAAAAATCATTTTAATTGCGCACTCACCCACTTTATAAAAAAATAAACTAAAATATCAAAAAATGCTTCATTAAATAAAAAATCTTTTTGAAAAAATGCATTTGTAAATATGAAAATAAATCGTAATTAAACAAAAGCAGTTTCAACAACGGAGCCTACAGATAAAAAAGAAGTTCTTAATGTTGTTACAAATAAACAAATGGACAAAAAGTCTGAAAATGCTTTTTACCCCACCATGGATGGTAAACTGCCCAAAGGTGGTCAAGCTCCCTATAGTTTTGATTACAAACCAGATAAAACCGAAAAACATGAAAAACCCGATAAACATGACAAACATGTTAAGAAACCATTGATTAAACCCCAACAAAATGATGTTAAATATGATGTACATGAGCCACAAGAAGAAGATTTACCCATACATCATCCTGGTATAGGACCAGGTTTTGTTCCCGTGCACTTAGGCGGCGGTATATCACCCTATGATAGTGTTAATTACAATCAAAATCTAGCACCACAACATCCGGGCAATCAGGGTCCCTATGGATCTTTCTACCACAATGATCCTTTTAATCCTTACGAACAATACGACATAAATCCTAATGGTATACCACAAGGCAAACCTCCAGCACCAACTAGTCAATCAGATTTATTCAATATTATAGGAGCAGCAGGTCCCGGAGGTAAACCATCACAAACCAATTTGCCACATCATGTTCGCATCGAACATATCTACCAACATTTGCAACAAAATGCTGCCAATCAAAATCAACATACCAACAATCAGGGTCCTTACGTGGCGATACCTCAGCATGGGCATGGTAATATAAGTGGTGCTGGTAGCCATCCACCCGGAATACCAGGAGTCGGGGTACCACCTCATCAGGGTCAATATGTTCCAGTCGTTCATAGTGGTTTACCACCACCTCCTCCTCCACATGGCATTGCCATAGTTGATGGTCAAGCTGTGCAATATGGTGGCTATCCTGTTATACCAGGCGTTGGTCCAGTGGCTACACATTTAACTACAAATCAATTTGCCTCGACCACCTCTTCTAAAGGTTTAGCTCCGCCATCGACAGAACATGCAGCAACAAGTGCATCAAAACCCAAAAAAACAGGTTGATTCTTTAAACCCTCATTTGTCATAAGTCTACAAATAGCAAATGTTGCGTTTAAATTTTCAAGATTATTTTAGGAAAAAGTAAATGATATTTAGTAAAAGAAATTCATCAATTTTGCTTAGAAAAATTGCTTGGATACAGACTACTTTGCTTATAGACAAGTTGACCGAAAAAAAACTTTCTCTATATAAAATTTGCTCAGAAACTGACAACTTTTTCTCAGAATTTCAAAACTTTTCCTATAGAAAAGTTTCTCAGAATTTGAAAACTTTTTCTATAGAAAAGTTGCTTAGAAACTGACCACTTCTTCTATAGAAAAGTTGCTCAGAAACTGACAACTTTTTCTATAGAAAAGTTGCTCAGAAACTGACAACTTTTTCTAAAGAAAAGTTGCTCAGAAACTGACAACTTTTTCTATAGAAAAGTTGCTCAGAAACTGACAACTTTCTATACAGAAAAGTTGCTCAGAAACTGACAACTTTTTCTATAGAAAAGTCGATCAGAAACTGACAACTTTTTCTATAGAAAAGTGGCTCAGAATCTGATATATTTTATATAGAAAAGTTGCTCAGAAACTGACATGTTTTTCTATAGAAAAGTTGCTCAGAAACTGACATCTTTTTCTATAGAAAAGTTGCTCAGAAACTGACATCTTTTTCTATAGAAAAGTTGCTCAGAAACTGACAACTTTTTCTATAGAAAAATGTATCTGTTTATAAGAATAAAAATTTATTCCTTACAAAAATCAATTTTTTTCCTAAAATAATCTTGAAAATATCGCAATATATGTTGAACATTTTTCATTATTTCATATTTTAAAACATTTGTTCGAAAAATCTATCATTCTATCTATATATAGTTCTATGGTTGTGGGTACTATTGTCTCATTTGCAAAACATAAACACATTATTAACCAATTGTATATACACTGCTCTAAACTTAATTTTTTCATCTTGAAAAGAAACAAAAAACTCTCTCATAGACTAGAGAACATTATATAGTAATTATTACAAACTAAAACCTTTTATTAGATCCTTGAACAGATCCTTTTAATAGCTTGTGTGTATGTTCAAAATCATAATTAATTTTTTCTTTATATCTCTCTTTGTTTCACTATAAAGCTTTCAATAATTTACAACCTGATATTGAGGTGCATACATTGGAAGCTATTGATCCTCGTACTGTGCGCATTGTATTTACTGTACCTCAGGTTTATGTCAACTTACATGGTCGTGTTGAATTACGTTATAGCAATGGACCCGGTAATGATACTTCTAAATGGGATCAACAAATATTTGCTCCACCAGAAGATCTGATAGCAACTTCACAAATGGAATTTGATTTACCTGGTTTAGAACCCAATTCATTGTATAAGATCAAAATTACTTTAATCCTAAGAGATTTGAATTCTCAACCTACCAGCTCTATTTATACTGTTAAGACACCTGCCGAAAGAACTATTACTCCACCACCACCAATTTCCGATTATAGACCCGACTTCCAAGATGTTTTCAAGAATGTTGAAGATCCTGAATTGAATGTTAGTGAAACTAACTCTACCTGGTTACATTTGACTTGGAAGAAATTGTCTGATGAACAAATGGATTATGTTGATGGTATACAATTGAGATATAAGGAATTGACTGGTATGATTTATTCATCCACACCTTTGGTACATCGTTCCCTCACCTCTTACACCATTGAAAACTTGCAACCTGATACTGGCTATGAAATCGGTTTATACTATATACCCTTCCCTGGTCATGGTGCTGAGTTAAGAGCTGGTCATATGATTAAAGTGCGCACAGGACCCAAGGTCGATGTTTATGCCTTTGATGTTATGGTCAATGTTACTAAGATTAAGGCCCAAAGTGTTGAAGTATCTTGGAATGGTGTACCATATCCCGAGGATAAATATGTCAATATCTATAGAGCTATTTATCAAAGTGATTCGGGCAAGGAAGATTCTAGTGTATTCAAGGTGGCAAAGAGAGATAGTACAACTGGTACTTTGATAATGGACTTGAAACCGGGTACCAAATATCGTTTGTGGTTGGAGATGTACATGACTAACGGCAAGATTAAGAAGAGTAATGTTGTTAACTTTATTACTAAACCTGGCGGTAATGCTGTACCTGGTAAAACTGGTAAGTTGTAGAATTACAAACAATTTTTAAATTAAAAACTAATTTTAAAATATTTCTACAAGTTTTAAATGCTTACGAAAGGATACAAGACTTTTTTGGAAATATTGGTAAATTGAAATTGTACAAAATGCAATAACAAGGTTTTCTTCAGAAAACTTACTGATTTATGAGACCAGTTTGTATAGAAAATATTTTCTTCAGCTTTTGCTCTAGGAGAGACAAGTTTTTGTATAGAAAATTATATCTTGAAAAGACAAAATTTTCTATTAATAAATTGGCTTTAAAAGAGACAAAATTGTCTACAGAAAATGAGCTCTAAAAGAGACAAAATTTTCTATAGAAAATTATCTCTAAAAAAGACAAACAGACAATTAGCTCTCAAAGAGGCAAAAACTTTCTATAGAAAACTAGCTCTAAAAGTGAAAAAATTTTCTATAGAAAACTAGCTCTAAAAAAAACAAACAAAGTTTTCTATAGAAAATTATCTCTAACAGAGACAAACTTTTCTATAGAAAATTATATCTAAAATGGAAAAAATTTTCTATAGAAAACTAGCTCTAAAAGAGACAAAATTTTTTATAGAAAATTAGCTCTAGAAGAGACAAGATTTTCTATAGAAAATTTGCTCTTAAAGAGAGTCAATCTTGTATAGAAAATACGCTCTTAAAGAGACAAAATGTTAAATACAAAAATCGTTATTATGTCACGTTTCTCTACAGAAAATTTGTTTTCGTTAAGACAAGTTTTTCTCTAGAAAACTTGCTCTTGTCGAGACATGTTTTTCTATAGAAAACTAGATCTTGTCGAGACAAGTTTTTCCATAGAAAACTTGCTCTTGTCGAGACGAGTTTATCTATAGAAAACTTGCTCTTGTCGATACAAGTTTTTCTATAGAAAACTTGCTCTTGTCGAGACAAGTTTTTCTATAGAAAACTTGCTCTTGTCGAGACAAGTTTATCTATAGAAAACTTGTTCTAGTCGAGACAAGTTTTTCTATAGAAAACTTGCTCTTGTCGAGACAAGTTTTTCTATAGAAAACTTGATCTTGTCGAGACAAGTTTTTCTCTAGAAAACTTGCTCTTGTTGCTTGTCTTAAGACAAGCATTTCTATATGAAATTTGATCTTTTTAAGACAAGTTTTTATATAGAAAATTTGCTCTTGTTAAGTATTTCTATAGAAAATATGCTTTTGTTAAGACATGTTTTTCCTATAGAAAATTTGTTCTTATTAACTCAAATTTTTCTATTGAAAACTTTCTTAAAAAAAGTTTTTCTATAGAAAACTTGCTTATGTTAATACAAATTTTTTCTTTAAAAAACTTGCTTTCGTTAAGATAAGCTTTTCTTAAGAAAAATTGCTCTTGTTAAGAAAAGTTTATCTAAAAGAAATTGAGAATTTTGTTAGACTTCTTCTTCGGAGATATTAACACTTTTTGTAAAAATTCTTTCTAATTTAATTTAATTAAATTTTATTATCTAAATAGGAAAACTTTTAACCGCTGGCGTTGATCAACCTGTTGGAGATTATTATGGTCCCCTAGTAGTAGTATCGGTGGTAGCTGCTTTAGCCATTATGTCGACCTTAGTCCTATTACTCATATTGACAAGAAGGCGTGTTCATCAAACAGCTTCCATAACACCACCACGTAAAAGTGATGCTGCCTATGACAATCCCTCATATAAAGTTGATATACAACAAGAAACCATGAGTAAGTTTTCAAAAATTGATATACAGTAAATATTTGAGATTATTATTTCCAAATGTTATTTAATTATTATTATTATTATTTTTCCGCTTATAGATCTGTAGCGGTTTTAATTGTGTATAAATAACCAAGTGAACTTATTTTTTCTACTCAAATGATTAAACAAATAACGAAAACAAATCCTAGTTGTGTATTAGTAATTAGGTTTCAAAACAGATTTTTTTTTTTTTTGTGTAAATATTTAAAAAACAAAACTTATATATAAATATAAATTCCTTAACTAAAACGATAATAGAAATTGGTTTAACCATTAAAAAAAAAAAGAATAACATGAAACAAAAGCAAATAACGAAAAATATTTAAAACAATTTAAAGTGCCAGATTTAATTTAAAAGAAAAAATTTGAAAATTGGCCTTAATGCATGATTATTTTTTTTTTGGAAAAATTTATAAATTATATGAAAAGCCATTATTTAAAGTTGAAATGAGATGTTGTAGTATTTAAGTATGATTTTTTTAATTTTTATTTTTTTCTTTATTTTATTATTTTGTTTATAATTTTGTATATAAAAAAAACTGTTCGTTTTAGTTGTCCATTAAGAAAACATTTCTAATTTAAATATTCTTGTTAAGTTGTAAAGTTGAATATTTAAATTATAAATGTTTTTATAAGTATTTTTCTTTTTTTCTGTTTATTTCTTTTTAATTTTTTTATTTTATTTTTTTATTATTCATGAAAGGCATTGTATAATTTTTTAGCTTTACTTTTGCTTAGTTTTATATAAATAAAAAAAAACTATTTTAAGTTACAAATAAAAAAAAAATAATAAAAATCTCAAAAACAAGCAAGAGTTTTACTTAAAATAAGAAAATTTTAAATAGAAAACAGCAAAAGGTAAGAGTTTAAGAAAAAGAAAATGACTTTTTGAAAAGTCAATAGCCTCTGTTCATAAATTAAAAAGAAATTTAATTAATTTTCCATACAATATATTGTATAATTTTAATTATTTCGCATATTATATCCATTTATATTTCAGTAATTTTTGTTAAAATGCTATTATAAGCATATTTGTAATTATAAAAAAAATAAAATTCATTGTTATAACTTTAGAAAATGTTTCAAATTCACATCCATATTTATGTAAAATTTATATTTATAAAATTAAAATTTTACTTACAACTTTAAATTATCCATTTTTTGTTCTATCACACTATCCTCTTCAGTATCACTGCTGCTACTGCTACTATCACTCTGCTTGTTAGGCAAATTACAAAATTCAGATTCACAACTTTCAGTACCCACATCATCCGTGGTCTCATCTTCATCATCACTATCATCTTCATCCTCATCATCACAATCAGGATCTTCAGAATCATCCTCACTATTGGAGGCAGCAATATGTATATCAGTTATTAATTCCTTCAGCAACTCTGTTTCTAGTTCTTGTAAACCCAAACCTAAATGTTTTTTGAATATATCGTAGAGCACATTTTTCAAATTATGAGCCAACATTTGTAAATGATTGACACTGCACAAGGTTGGGTTACTTAAATAACGTATATAATCATCTATATAATAATAATTGAAAACTGAACGTTCATTTGTTTCGAATATTTCGCGGTTCATAAGTAATTGTTTTAAAATCCAGGCAGAGTTCGCTTGTAAGGCTGTTATACAATCCTCAACACATTGTTTACTTAATTCGTAGTTACGATATAAGGGATAAATCAAGGAACGTCTCATAAAACTAATGACTACATCTTTTAAAGAGGTAAAAGGTTCGAAATATGTTAGAGTAGCTGAGAGTACACTACGAGTCCATGCTGATTCACAGTTAGTTTCATTGGAAGTAAATCTATAAGGAACATGAATTTAAATTCTTTAAATAGTCATTTTCCTTTTTAATACTTACCTTACATCATAACAAATGCCCAACAAAATGCTAATAAGACCGCAATCTATTTCCATTATATCATACTCATCTGGCATTTCCATAAGTTCTGGTTTACAAGTTAAATTGTGCAATAAACATTGTTCATCTTGTGATAAAGTAGAATCTAAAAAGAAAGAGTAAGAACTTTTTATTGGAAAACTTCACTCATCAAGAAGAGCTGTATGAAATCTATAGAAAAACTTGATCTAATAAGAACAATTTTTCTATAGAAAACCTTGTATGAATAAAAGCATTTTTTCTATAGAAAAACTTGTCTTAACTACCTTGTCTTAACTTATCTTGATAAGAGCAAGTTTTCTATAGAAAAAATTGTCACGACAAGAGCAATTTTTCTATCGAAAAACTTGTCTTAACAAGAGCAATTTTTCTATAGAAAAACTTGTCTTAACAAGAGCAGATTTTCTATAGAAAAACTTGTCTTAACAAGAGCAGTTTTTCTATAGAAAAACTTGTCTTAACAAGAGCAGTTTTTCTATAGAAAAACTAGTCTTAACAAGAGCAGTTTTTCTATAGAAAAACTAGTCTTAACAAGAGCAGTTTTTCTATAGAAAAACTAGTCTTAACAAGAGCAGTTTTTCTATAGAAAAACTAGTCTTAACAAGAGCAGTTTTTCTATAGAAAAACTAGTCTTAACAAGAGCAGTTTTTCTATAGAAAAACTAGTCTTAACAAGAGCAGTTTTTCTATAGAAAAACTAGTCTTAACAAGAGCAGTTTTTCTATAGAAAAACTTGTCTTAACAAGAGCAGTTTTTCTATAGAAAAACTTGTCTTAACAAGGGCAGTTTTTCTATAGAAAAACTTGTCTTAACAAGAGCAGTTTTTCTATAGAAAAACTTGTCTTAACAAGAGCAGTTTTTCTATAGAAAAACTTGTCTTAACAAGAGCAGTTTTTCTATAGAAAAACTTGTCTTAACAAGAGCAGTTTTTCTATAGAAAAACTTGTCTTAACAAGAGCAGTTTTTCTATAGAAAAACTTGTCTTAACAAGACCAATTTTTCTATAAAAAAACTTGTCTTAACAAGACCAATTTTTCTATAGAAAACTTTTCTTAACAAGACCAATTTTTCTATAGAAAAATTTTTCTTAACAAGAGAAATTTTTCTATAGAAAAACTTTTTCTTAACAAGAGCAGTTTTTCTATAGAAAAACTTGTCTTAACAAGAGCAGTTTTTTCTATAGAAAAACTTGTCTTAACAAGAGCAGTTTTTCTATAGAAAAACTTGTCTTAACAAGAGCAATTTTTCTATAGAAAAACTTGTCTTAACAAGAGAAATTTTTCTATAGAAAAACTTGTCTTAACAAGAGAAATTTTTCTATAGAAAAACTTGTCTTAACAAGAGCAATTTTTCTATAGAAAAACTTGTCTTAACAAGAGCAATTTTTCTATAGAAAAACTTGTCTTATCAAGTGCAATTTTTCTATAGAAAAACTTGTCTTAACAAGAAAAATTTTTTTATAGAAAAACTTTTCTTAACAAGAGCAATTTTTCTATAGAAAAAACTTGTCTTAACAAGAGCAATTTTTCTATAGAAAACCTTGTCTTAACAAGAGCAATTTTTCTATAGAAAAACTTGTCTTAACAAGAGCAATTTTTCTATAGAAAAACTTGTCTTAACAAGAGCAATTTTTCTATAGAAAAACAAGAGCAATTTTTCTATAGAAAAACAAGAGCAATTTTTCTATAGAAAAACAAGTGCAATTTTTCTATAGAAAAACTTGTCTTAACAAGACCAGTTTTTCTATAGAAAAACTTGTCTTAACAAGAGCAATTTTTCTATAGAAAAACTTTTTTTAACGATAGCAGTTTTTCTATAGAAAAACTTGACTTAACAAGAACTATTTTTTTTATAGAAAAACTTTTCTTAACAAGATCAATTTTTCTATAGAAAAATTTTTCTTAACAAGAGCAATTTTTCTATAGAAAAACTTGTCTTAACAAGAACAATTTTTCTATAGAAAAACTTTTCTTAACAAGAGCAATTTTTCTATAGAAAAATTTGTCTTAACAAGAGCAATTTTTCTATAGAAAACCTTGTCTTAACAAGAGCAATTTTTCTATAGAAAAACTTGTCTTAACAAGAGCAATTTTTCTATAGAAAAACTTGTCTTAACAAGAGCAATTTTTCTATAGAAAAACAAGAGCAATTTTTCTATAGAAAAACAAGAGCAATTTTTCTATAGAAAAACTTGTCTTAACAAGACCAGTTTTTCTATAGAAAAACTTGTCTTAACAAGAGCAATTTTTCTATAGAAAAACTTTTTTTAACGATAGCAGTTTTTCTATAGAAAAACTTGACTTAACAAGAACTATTTTTTTTATAGAAAAACTTTTCTTAACAAGATCAATTTTTCTATAGAAAAATTTTTCTTAACAAGAGCAATTTTTCTATAGAAAAACTTGTCTTAACAAGAACAATTTTTCTATAGAAAAACTTTTCTTAACAAGAACAATTTTTCTATAGAAAAACTTTTCTTAACAAGAGAAATTTTCTTTAGAAAACCTTGTCTTAACAACTTTTCTCTAGAAAATCTTGTCTTAAAAAGAGCATTTTTTCTAAAGAAAATTTTTCTCTTTTAGAGCTAAATTTCTATTGAAAATTTTGTCTCTTTTAGAGCTAATTTTCTATAGAAAATTGTGTCTCTTTTAGAGCTAATTTTCTATAGAAAATTGTGTCTCTTTTAGAGCTAATTTTCTATAGAAAATTGTGTCTCTTTTAGAGCTAATTTTCTATAGAAAATTGTGTCTCTTTTAGAGCTAATTTTCTATAGAATGTTTGGATCTTCTAAAGCAAATTTTCTATAGAAAATTTTGTCTCTTTAGAGCTAATTTCCCATAGAAAATTTTGTCTCTTTTAGAGCTAATTTTCTATAGAAAATTTTGTCTCTCTTAGAGCTAATTTTCTATAGAAAATTTTGTCTCTTTTAGAACTAATTTTCTATAGATAATTTTGTCTCTTTTAGATCTAGTTTTCTATAGAAAATTGTTTCTTTAAGATCAATTTATGTACAAAGTTTTTATAAAAAAGAACACAATCTGACCTTTAAAATTGATACTAAATTGCATGGGATTATCGAGACCATCTGGTACTTGTAATTCCACAAAATTCAATTTGTACTGATCTCTAGAAAAATTCTTCATTTCATCAATTTCTCTATCAATTGTTCGTTGTAATGGACTGACGCTATCGGGTTCCGGCATGCGTGTAATTACCTCCAAATCACACTGAAAGAAAAACATTGCTATTATAAGCAAATAAATATAAATAATTCTCTCTAGCTTACATCAAACCGTCTTATGGTGCCGCGGAATTTACTAGCAAACCCATAATCAAAATTACTTTCCGGCTTAAGCAACTCTTTGGCATTATCCACCCGTATGTAGCACTGATCAGTAATTCTTTTTAGTTTCCATAAATCCAAAGATTTTTTATTTTCTTTAGATTTTTTCTCTTCTGTAGACTTTTCAGTTGAATCCTGAAGATCTCCTTCATTGACTGGCAGACAGGGTAAGGATAGAAACATGCATTGTTCTTTGGTATTGTAGTTAATTTCAACATTTTTTATATCTTTCATATCAAAACGCCGTGTACTTCTGAATCTGTGTAATAGATATGAATATTAGTATATTTTATTTAAATATAATTAATGGATAACTTACTTGTATAATTGTACATCTAAATAGATTAATAAATTATAGTCTTCTATAAATAAATCACAATTTCTGATATTTTGCACATGTCTGCCAGGACCACAATGAAAACCGGCATGACTTTCTGGAGATTTCTTAAGATTTAGTGTTAATTCACAGCAGTTTTCTTTAAATGTATGTTCAATTTGTTGTATATTTGACATTTTGTTGGCAGATCTATTTTTTTGTTTAATTAATTTATTAAAATTTTATAAAAACACGATAATTAAAGTTTTTCAAAGACCGAGGGACAGAGCCCTGCGCCGACAAATATTAACGGCGGCGGCGACTGACACTAAATATGTCGGCGGTGGCTTAAAAACGATTAATCGTAATTGTAAGCTGGCTAAGTTCTCAACTACGTTTAGTTTTTAAATTTTCAACGAATTTAAATAAAAACGGAATCCGAGAGATCAGAAAGTGGGATTTTGGAAGCAAATATATTGTTTATAACAACAAAACAGAGCAAGCTCAAAAGTTGTGTGAGAAATTATGCAGGGATGAATAAAAAATTCTTAAATATTAAAAACAAATCCTTTCTCCAAGTTTTACGAGGATCTGCCGATATTTAACCCTATCCTCCATATAAAACGTAAAAACAAATATATTTTATTTGTTTATTTACTAGCTATACCCAGTGTGCTGTGCTACCCTAAAAGCAATATAAATAAGAAACCCAGTTAACGATTTTGATTATTCTAACTACAATGGTTTTCCAGATATGCAATTTGTTACATATGGGAGATTCCACGCAAATTATTGCAATTTCTCTAGATGTTCTTCATGTAAAATTTGAAGATTCTAGCTCTAATATTTTCTCATATATACGAGTTTTTCTATTTAATTCATATGGGAGCTCCAAGCCCGACAGATGAAAGTCCGCCCTTTTTTCTCCAAAATGTTCAGATGAATATTAAAGTTCTTCGTGCAAAATTTTAAGAATTTAGTTCTATTAGTTTCCCAAATAAAGGAATTTTTGTATTTAATTCGTATGGGAGGTTCCGCTCCCCTCATTGGTAGTCCCCCAATTCATTACCCCAAATGTTTACATGGATGTTAAAGTTCTTCCAAAACAACATCATTTAAAGGGATCACAAAGAGATTGAAAAATATTCCAAAAGTTTCACTTTGAAAACATTATTAGAGTGTATGAAAACTCGCAACTCTAAAGGCAGACTATTCCTATTTTAGCGGTAATTTCTTTATGATAAAAATAAGTAAGGAGTAAGAGTTATATTCGGCAAATCATTTGTCGTAAAAAAACAAATTTCGGAAATGGTCATATACATATATATATGAATGGACTTTGATCATTAGATTAATAAGAAAAGTCCCGTTTTATATGTTCTAACTTACTCCATGAACGAAAAGTACCAAAAAGTGCCATTTTATAGATTCTCATTTACTCCGGGCTCTACGTGCATAATTTCATGTTTCTATGTTCAATTTAATAGAAAACTCAAAAAGTACCTTTTGAAAAACGAAAAAGTACCAAAAATTCCCCTTTTATAGGACCTCACTTAATCCGGGCTCTACATGCTTAATTTCACATTTCTAGGTTCATTATTATACAAAAACTTAAAATGTACCTTTTGAAGAACCAAAAAGTCCCCTTTTACAGGTTCTCACTTAATCGGGGCTCTACACGCTTTCATGTTTCTAGGATTAATATTATAGAAAATTCAAAAAGTTCCTTTTGAAGAACGAAAAATTACCAAAAAGTCCACTTTTATAGATTCTCAAGTGCTTAATTACATGTTTGTAAGTTTTAAGTCAAAAAAGTACCAGTCGAAGTACGATAAAGTACCAATAAGTCCCATTTTATAGATTCTCATTTACTCCGGACTCTACTTGCTTAATTTCATGTTTCTAGGTTAAATTTTATAGAAAACTCAAAAAGTACCTTTGTAGAACCAAAAAGTTCCGAAAAGTCCCTTAATTATTAATTTCATGTTTCGATTTCAATATCATAGAAAACTCAAAAAGTACCAATTGGAGAATGAAAAAGTACCAAAAAATATCACTTGGTACCGGTGTTTCTTTGCACAATGACCATCGGTATAGTAGTATAGTAATCTTATCAATTTCAATTGTTAGTAAAAATTATTTTTTTATTTAAAGAATATCATTTCTGTCATTTTAGATTTTTGCACGCACACAACTGCAGATTTTTTTGCAAATAAAAAATGCGGAAAACAGTTTGGCGCGAAAAATTCTAGCAGAATTTCTTTTCGCAGTCGGCAGAATTGACATCAACTGCACTTCCCATTTAAAATACACATGTTCGATATCCTAGCCCTTTACGGTATGACATACCAGCAATGTAAAAAGGTGTAGCTCCGTTGACGTCAACGAAGCTGGTTTGAAGTAAAAGCAGCGACTCGAATTAGGCGCGTAAAACACGAAAATATCTGAGGCGAAGAATATACATCGAACGTTGAGCAAAGTTCTACACCGGCCAAATTTCAATGAGCGGCTTATTATTAGATAAAAGAAAACTTGCTTAAATGAAAACAAATTAATTTTATATTGTAAAATTCCATAAATTTAGCGTAAGTGTTTTGTAAATTGTACAAAATATGGCGAAATTTTCAAGCCGTATTAAGCTGAAAAATTTTCGGCGGCGGCGGCTTTGATATTTTGTTCGGCGGCTAGTCTTAGTCGGCTTAAGCCGAAACGGCGCAAATGTAAACATGCTGTAACACCTGTAAGTTGTCATACCATGTAGCTTCCATATATATCAACTTGAAGCGCCACCTAGTTACTAGTAGTAGAACAATTTATCCAGTTTACAAAGTTGTTACGTTACATTTAAATACGTTAAAAAATTAACTTCTGGATAGTTTTTATCAAAAGTTGTCTAAAAATAGAAAACTGATTTGATTACAAAATTTTCTATAACAAATATTAAAAAAATGTTAAATAAAAAGAAATATTTCTATATAAAGCAAATTTACCAAATATTTTCTATAAAAGAAAACTTATGAAAATTTTCCTATAAAAAAGTAAATCTATTAAAACTTTTCTATAAAAATTTATGGCAATTGTTCTAAAAAAGAAAATTTATCGAAATTTTTTATAAAAAGAAAATTTATGATTGGAATATTTATCGAAAATTTTCTATAAAAGAACATTTATCGAAAATTTTCTATAAAAGAACATTTATCGAAAATTTTCTATAAAAGAACATTTATCGAAAATTTTCTATAAAAGAACATGTATCGAAAATTTTCTATAAAAAGAATATTATGGGAAATTGTTTACAAAAAGGAATTTTATGAAAAATTTTCTATAAAAAGAAAATTTATGGAAAATATTCTATAAAAAGGGAATTTATGGAAAATTTTTTATAAATTTAATTTTGTGGTAAATTTTCCACAAATATTCTTTTGATAGACAATTTTTGAATAAATTTTATACTTATAAAAAATTTCGGATAAATTTTCTTTTTATAGAAAATTTTCGACAAATTTCTTATAATTATTTTAGATAATTTTTTTTTTTAGAAAATTTTCGGATAAATTTACATTTTATCAATTTTTTATAGAAAATTTTCTTTTTATAGAAAATTTTCCATTAAATTAATTTTTATGAATATTCCCTTTATAAAAAATTTTCTTAAAAAATTGTTTTTTTTATATAAAACTTTCCATAAATTTTATTTTTATAAAAATATTTCCATAAATTTCCTTTTTATAAAAACATTTTCCATAAATTTTGTTTTTCTTTATATAAAATTTTCAATAAATTTTCTTTTTATAAAAAATTTTCATTAAATTTTCTTTTTATACAAAATTTTCACAAATTTTCTTTTTATAAAAAATTTTCCATAAATTTTTTTATACCCTCCACCACCATCAGTGGTGATAGAGGGTATATATAACTTTGTTATTCCGTGTGTAACACCAAGAAATATTCATCTGAGACCCAACAAAGTATATATATTCTGGGTCCTTATCAAATTCTGAGTCGATTTAGCTATGTCCGTCTGTCCGTCTGTCTGTGTAAAACACGCTCACGATAAAACGAAGCAATAGAGTTTAACCAAATTCACCCAAAATATTCTTCATTTTCCTGAGTTGTTTGGTATTGAAAATGGCCAAAATCGGTTCACACCGGGCAAAGTTATGAATCAAAATTTTAAACAACCTCGAAAAAAATAAGCATTTTTTACACATTCTGATGTAATTTTCTCGAAAACTATGCAAGATAATTCCATGAAAATCACCATACATTCGTTCCTACACAAGAGCTTGATCCCTGCTGAAAATTTTCTGAATCGGTAGACAATTTCATATACCTCCCATACAAAAGTACATATTCCCGGAAAATGTTTTTTTGTTAATAACTTCCGTCACAATGTCGATATCTTCACAAAATTTTACAAATTAAAATCTTATGTGAATAGAATTCATATAGAGGAAAAATTTTCTGGGTCGGTCCATAATTGGACATAGCTCCCATACAAGGATAAGGAATTAAGATATCCATATAAAATTTGGTACAAGTATTGCCCATATGCATAGAAATATTACTGTGAAATTTTTTTCCGATCGGTCCATAATTGGTCATAGCTCCCATACAAGGTCCCCTCCCGAAAATCACTTAAACGCGCATAACTCATTACTTAAATAAGATATCCATATCAAATTTGATACCAGTATTACTCATATGTACAGAAATATTACTGTGAAAGTTTTTTCCGATCGGTCCATAATTGGTCATAGCTCCCATACAAGGTCCCCTCCCGAAAATCACTTAAACGCGCATAACTCATTACTAAATTAATATATCCATATAAAATTTGGTACAAGTATTACCCATATGCACAGAAATATTACTGTGAAAGTTTTTTCCGATCGGTCCATAATTGGTCATAGCTCCCATATAAGGTCCCCTCCCGAAAATCACTTAAACGCGCATAACTCATTACTAAATTAAGATATCCATATAAAATTTTGTACAAGTATTGCTCACATATACAGAAATATTACTATGAAAGTTTTTTTTGGATCGGTCCATAATTGGTCATAGCTCCCATACAAGGTCCCCTCCCGAAAATCACTTAAACGCGCATAACTCATTACTAAATTAAGATATCCATATAAAATTTGGTACAAGTATTGCTTATATGCACAGAAATATTACTGAGCAATTTTTTTCCGATCGGTCCATAACTGGTCATAGCTCCCATGCAAGGTCCCCTCCCGAAAATCACTTAAACGCATATAACTCATTACTAAATTAAGATATCCATATAAAGTTTGGCAGAAGTATTGCTCATATACAGATAAATATTACTGTGAAATTGTTTTCCTATTGGTCCATAATTTATCATAGCTGCTATACAAGGTCCCTTTCAGAAAAACACTTAAAGGCACATAACTCATTTTACTATCGGTCCATGTTTGGTCATAGCTCTCATACTAGGTCCCCTTCAGAAAAGAAAATGGCGTTTGTAATGTTCAATAAATCTTGGAATTGTAATAGTTTTAAGTTGTTTAAATCATGGGATTTTTCTATTTAAGACATGAGAAAACTTATTTCTACAAATATTTGATCAATTAGAAAAGTATTAACATAAAAGTAGCTGGTGGAGGGTATTTAAGATTCGGCTCAGCCGAATATAGCACTCTTACTTGTTTATACAAAGTTTTCCATAAATTTTCTTTTTATAAAAAATTTTCCATAAATTTTCTTTTTATAGAAAATTTTCGAATTAATTTTCAAATTTTCGGATAAATTTTCATTTTATAGAAAATTTTCGGATAAATTTTAATTTTATAGAAAATTTTCGGATAAATTTTAATTTTATAGAATATTTTCGGATACATTTTCATATTATAGAATATTTTCGGATAAATTTTAATTTTATAGAAAATTTTCATTTTATAGAAAATTTTCGGATAAATTTTCATTTTATAGAAAATTTTCGGATAAATTTTCATTTTATAGAAAATTTTCGGATAAATTTTCATTTTATATATATATATTTTTTTTTTTAGAAAAATTTCGATATATTTTGTTGTAGAAAATTTTCGTTATTTTTTATAGCAAAATTTCGGAATATTTATCCGAAAATTTTCTACCAAAAGAAAATTTATGGACAATTTTTAATAAAAAGGATATTTATGGAAAATTTCTACAAAAATAAATTTTTGATAAAATTTTCTATAAAAAAGAAAATTATGAAAATTTTCTAGAAATAATTCTATAAATAATAATCAATTACAAAACAGCGTATGATGATTAATCATATATTACATATGTATGTATGTATCTATGTAGGAGTATGTATGTACTTGTAGCTTTGAATCCGCCTTTAAATTGATTTCCTTTTTTCTATAAATGTTTAACTAAAATTTCTGACTTATCATTTTTGAATGTCAGTTCCCATTAATGGTCACCAGTTAAATAATAAAATCATTTCAAGCCATAAATGTCTTTAACCTCATAACAATTGGGAGGTGGTGGTAGTGACACCCCAAATCACAAACATACTCAATTAATGGTCATAAGTATACACACAATAGAATTCGTACCTTCGATTTGGAATAAATTTATACAATAAAATACTTCAACAATATTTGTTTATTAACACAAACACACATACGTACATACATATATGTATATAGACAAAACGGAAATAGAATATAACAAATGGAGTGTGTGCATTTGTGGTAAAATGTGTGCGTGTGTATTTGTCTATGTCGGAATCAAAATAAACATTTAAAGGCACACAAACGGAAATACAATCAACAATAAACCGGGTAAACCGCTAATTTGTAAATACAACATTAGATAAGTTAACAAAAGGTTAAGAGAAAACGTAAGTTTAAAACGAATATGTTAAACCGTATAAAAAAGTTCGTCGAACTCCAGAGCTTGATTCATTTGTAATCTTGCAAAATCGCTAATATTTTCTAAAGTCTCTCTATTGTTTCCCACTATCATGGGCAACGAGATATAACCATCTGTGTAGAAACCTTTGAATACCAAAATAAATTGTAAACGATAACTGGTCTCGAGTAGTTATGATTCTTGAGATGTCGGTATAAGGGTATGAGGCAATTTTAAAGAACCTTCAAACTTTCTATTATGGTGTTGTCTATTGAAATGATGCATCATAAGATTAAGGGTAGTATGGACCTGTTTAATACGTTCTTTGGGCTTTAATGCCTTATAGTGTTGAGTTTGTGTTAGTATAACTGAAAGGCGCTGTAAGTCCATGAATTTTGTACAATTTTGTATTGAAACAAAATATTTAATAGAATCGCCGGCTACAAAGGAACAGGTGGGTAGATTTAAAATGACCTGAAGAGGTTGAGAATTACAGAAGCCCCAGCAGTAGGATTTTTGGAATACAGTTCGAAAAGGTTGCTACAAAAGAATAAAAGAAAAGTTTAATATGAAAGTTCATCTGATTATTTCAATCTTTAGTAATCTAAAAATTCATTAAAGAAAAGTTCACATATACCTTATACTCCGATTTAGAGCAAATATTTAAAACTTGTTTTATAACAAGAGGCATTCTATATACAAAATCCATTCCCAATTTGTGATAAACACGCAACTCTAAATAATATTTGATGCAACCATATTTCCTCTCAACACTCTGCGGTATTTGAGGAGGTATACTTAACATGATATTATACCGATATTTCCCTCTGCTAAGTATGTTGAAAATTTTGATAGTAATATGTTTATCTGCACAGATTTGTTGACCTTGAAACTGTTGCATGATATAGATGATTTTACCATCTTTAGGTTTATTTATTAAATCCTCCCATTTGACATTAATTTCGCCACGAAAATTGAGAAGTATTTCTTAATAGAAAGTAAGTTTTTGTTAATTTAATAAAATTTATATTTTTTTTTAATAAAATTATACCATCTATAAAGATATCTTCTTGACTTTCTATCTCTATTGTAAGATTTATATCATCACCTGAGAAAATGTGCTTGATATTGTTGTCTAATACGATTTTTCCAGTTAAAACCATTTTGCTTTATTTAATTGGTTGAAAAGAGTTGTAATTGAACAAATATTTTATGAAATTTGATTGAAAAGGAAAACTGGGTGACACAAATACTATAATAATAGAAGGATAATCCTATTCGTTATAAAAATTCATAGAGGAAATAAATACTAGGAATTAATCCCATTTTATACTTATTTTGGCTTGAATATTTCTCAGTGAGCAGCTCATCAATAAAGTGCAGTTAGTTAGTTAGTTAGTCAGTTAGTTATTTAGTTAGTTTAGTAGTTAGTTAGTTAGTTAGTTAGTAGTTAGTTAGTTAGTTGTTAGTTAGTAGTTAGAGTTAGTTAGTCGTTAGTCAGTTAGAGTTAGTTAGTTAGTTAGTTAGTAGTTAGTTAGTTAGGTAGTTAGTAGTTAGTTAGTTAGTTAGTATAGTTAGTCGTTAGTTAGTTAGTAGTTAGTTAGTAGTTAGTTAGTTAGTAGTTAGTTAGTTAGTTAGTTAGTTAGTTAGTAGTTAGTTAGGTAGTTAGTTAGTTAGTTAGTTAGTAGTTAGTTAGTTAGTTAGTTAGTAGTTCGTTAGTTAGTTAGTTAGTAGTTAGTTAGTTAGTTAGTTAGTAGTTAGTTAGTAGGTGGTAGTGTAGTTAGTTAGTAGTTAGTTAGTTAGTTAGTAGTTAGTTAGTTAGTGTTAGTAGTTAGTTAGTAGTTAGTTAGTTAGTAGTTAGTTAGTAGTTAGTTAGTTAGTTAGTTAGTTAGTAGTTAGTTAGTTAGTTAGTAGTTAGTTAGTTAGTTAGTTAGTTAGTTAGTTAGTTAGTAGTTAGTTAGTTAGTTAGTTAGTTAGTTAGTAGTTAGTTAGTTAGTTAGTTAGTTAGTTCGTTAGTTAGTAGTTAGTAGTAGTTAGTTAGTTAGTTAGTTAGTTAGTTAGTTAGTAGTTAGTTAGTTAGTTAGTTAGTTAGTTAGTTAGTAGTTAGTTAGTTAGTAGTTAGTTAGTTAGTTAGTTAGTAGTTAGTTAGTTAGTTAGTAGTTAGTAGTTAGTTAGTTAGTAGTTAGTTAGTTAGTTAGTTCGTTAGTTAGTAGTTAGTTAGTTAGTAGTTAGTTAGTAGTTAGTTAGTTAGTTAGTTAGTTAGTTAGTTAGTTAGTAGTTAGTTAGTTAGTTAGTTAGTTAGTAGTTAGTTAGTAGTAGTTAGTTAGTTAGTTAGTTAGTTAGTTAGTTAGTTAGTTAGTTAGTTAGTTAGTTAGTTAGTTAGTTAGTTAGTAGTTAGTTAGTTAGTTAGTTAGTTAGTTAGTTAGTTCGTTAGTTAGTTAGTAGTAGTTAGTTAGTTAGTTAGGTAGTTAGTTAGTTAGTAGTTAGTAGTTAGTTAGTTAGTTAGTTAGTTAGTTAGTTAGTTAGTTAGTTAGTAGTTAGTTAGTTAGTTAGTTAGTTAGTTAGTTAGTTAGTTAGTTAGTTAGTTAGTTAGTTAGTTAGTTAGTTAGTAGTTAGTTAGTTAGTTAGTTAGTTAGTTAGTTAGTTAGTTAGTAGTTAGTTAGTAGTTAGTAGTTAGTTAGTAGTTAGTTAGTTAGTTAGTTAGTTAGTTAGTTAGTTAGTAGTTAGTTAGTTAGTAGTTAGTTAGTAGTTAGTTAGTTAGTTAGTTAGTTAGTAGTTAGTAGTTAGTTAGTTAGTTAGTTAGTTAGTAGTAGTTAGTTAGTTAGTTCGTTAGGTTAGTTAGTTAGTTAGTTAGTAGTTAGTTAGTTATTAGTTAGTTAGTTAGTTAGTTAGTTAGTTAGTAGTTAGTTAGTTAGTCGTTAGTTAGTTAGTTAGTTAGTTAGTTAGTTAGTTAGTTTAGTAGTTAGTATAGTTCGTTAGTTAGTTAGTAGTTAGTTAGTTAGTTAGTAGTTAGTTAGTTGTTAGTTAGTTAGTTAGTAGTTAGTTAGTTAGTTGTAGTTAGTTAGTAGTTAGTTAGTTAGTTAGTAGTTAGTTAGTTAGTTAGTTAGTTAGTTAGTTAGTTAGTTAGTTAGTTAGTTAGTAGTTAGTTAGTTAGTTAGTTAGTTAGTTAGTTAAGTTAGTTAGTTAGTTAGTAGTTAGTTAGTTAGTTAGTTAGTTTAGTTAGTTTAGTTAGTAGTTAGTTAGTTAGTTAGGTAGTAGTTAGTTAGTTAGGTTAGTTAGTTAGTTAGTTAGTAGTTAGTAGTTAGTTAGTTAGTTAGTTAGTTAGTTAGTTAGTTAGTTAGTTAGTTAGTTAGTTAGTTAGTTAGTAGTTAGTTAGTAGTTAGTTAGTTAGTTAGTTAGTTAGTTAGTTAGTTAGTTAGTTAGTTAGTAGTTAGTTAGTAGTTAGTTAGTTAGTTAGTTAGTTAGTTAGTTAGTTAGTTAGTTAGTAGTTAGTTAGTTAGTTAGTTTAGTTAGTAGTTAGTTAGTTAGTTAGTTAGTTAGTTAGTTAGTTAGTTAGTTTAGTTAGTTAGTTAGTTAGTTAGTTAGTAGTTAGTTAGTTCGTTAGTTAGTTAGTTAGTTAGTTAGTTAGTTAGTTAGTTAGTTAGTTAGTTAGTTAGTTAGTAGTTAGTTAGTTAGTTAGTTAGTAGTAGTTAGTTAGTTAGTTAGTTAGTTAGTTAGTTAGTTAGTTAGTTAGTTTAGTTAGTTAGTTAGTTAGTTAGTTAGTTAGTTAGTTAGTTAGTTAGTTAGTTAGTTAGTTAGTTAGTTAGTTAGTTAGTTAGTTAGTTAGTTAGTTAGTTAGTTAGTTAGTAGTTAGTTAGTTAGTTAGTTAGTTAGTTAGTTAGTAGTTAGTTAGTTAGTTAGTTAGTTAGTTAGTTAGTTAGTTAGTTAGTTAGTTAGTTAGTTAGTTAGTAGTTAGTAGGTTAGTTAGTTAGTTAGTTAGTTAGTTAGTTAGTTAGTTAGTTAGTTAGTTAGTTAGTTAGTTAGTTAGTTAGTTAGTTAGTTAGTTAGTTAGTTAGTTAGTTAGTTAGTTAGTTAGTAGTTAGTTAGTAGTTAGTTAGTTAGTTAGTTAGTAGTTAGTTAGTTAGTTAGTTAGTTAGTTAGTTAGTTAGTTAGTTAGTTAGTAGTTAGTTAGTTAGTTAGTAGTTAGTTAGTTAGTTAGTTAGTTAGTTAGTTAGTTAGTTAGGTTAGTTAGTAGTTAGTTAGTTAGTTAGTAGTTAGTTAGTTAGTTAGTTAGTTAGTTAGTTGTTAGTTAGTTAGTTAGTTAGTTAGTTAGTTAGTTAGTTAGTTAGTATTAGTTCGTTAGTTAGTTAGTTAGTTAGTTAGTTAGTTAGTTAGTAGTTAGTAGTAGTTAGTTAGTAGTAGTTAGTTAGTTAGGTAGTAGTTAGTTAGTTAGTTAGTTATGTTAGTTAGTAGTTAGTTAGTTAGTAGTTAGTTAGTTAGTTAGTTAGTTAGTTAGTTAGTTAGTTAGTTAGTTAGTTAGTTAGTTAGTTAGTAGTTAGTTAGTTAGTTAGTTAGTTAGTTAGTTAGTAGTAGTTAGTTAGTTAGTTAGTTAGTAGTTAGTTAGTTAGTTAGTTAGTTAGTTAGTTAGTTAGTTAGTTAGTTAGTTAGTTAGTTAGTTAGTTAGTTAGGTTAGTTAGTAGTTAGTTAGTTAGTTAGTTAGTTAGTTAGTTAGTTAGTTAGTTAGTTAGTAGTTAGTTAGTTAGTTAGTTAGTTAGTTAGTTAGTTAGTTAGTTAGTTAGTTAGTTAGTTAGTAGTTAGTTAGTTAGTTCGTTAGTTAGTAGTTAGTTAGTTAGTTAGTAGTTAGTTAGTAGTTAGTTAGTTAGTTAGTTAGTTAGTTAGTTAGTTAGTTAGTTAGTTAGTTAGTTAGTTAGTTAGTTAGTTAGTTAGTTAGTTAGTAGTTAGTTAGTTAGTTAGTTAGTTAGTTAGTTAGTTAGTTAGTTAGTTAGTTAGTTAGTTAGTTAGTTAGTTAGTTAGTTAGTAGTTAGTTAGTTAGTTAGTTAGTTAGTTAGTTAGTTAGTTAGTTAGTTAGTAGTTAGTAGTTAGTTAGTTAGTTAGTTAGTTAGTTAGTTAGTTAGTTAGTTAGTTAGTTAGTTAGTTAGTTAGTTAGTTAGTTAGTTATAAACGCTTCCGATTTCACTAAAATTGTCACTGTTACATTTTCTTTACCAAATGTTGTGTTAAACCGTGCCTTACAAATACTTTAAAAAAAAAGAGACAAAACACTTTATTACTAACATATTAATACGTCCTTATAATTTCCTTACACAAATTGTTGTCCATTTATTTGTTTAACACTTAAAAACATCTAATATTATGTGATTTTTCTGTGGTCATTGGATAATTGGTCAATAAAGGGCGTAAACTGTAAATAATTTTGATTTGATTTGATTTGCATATCATTTGTGCCAACTCATCGCATGACATGTGCTGTCACGTGTCGAATATTTAACGCTTTAACAAGAAATAAATAACAAACCCGAACCAACAACAATAATATGCAACAAATATATTTTATGTCCAACAAATCTATAAAAGTAAATGTCCTTAAGGATATTTCCTTTAGTCGACGTTAGCACTTTTAGCGATGGCACATAAAATTTCAAGTGCATTTTATGGTTTAACGGAAAATTCAATGGGGAATATAAAATTTAGTCCTTGTCAAGTGTGTGGTGATCAAAGTTCGGGCAAACATTATGGTGTTATCTGTTGTGATGGTTGTTCCTGTTTCTTTAAGCGCAGTGTACGCAAGGGCAACATTTACAATTGTATAGCGGGCAAGGGTAATTGTGTTATAGATAAGGCCCGTCGTAATTGGTGTCCGTATTGTCGTTTTCAACAATGTCTTAAATGTGGCATGAATGTGCAGGCGGTGCAAGAGGAAAGAGGCCCGAGACAGCAACAAGCAACTTCTGCTGCAGCATCTCGAGTAAATGAAACAAAATTTGTTTTGAAATCTACGACTTCAACATCATCAACTACAAAACGTTTACATACTATACAAAATTTAACATATAATACAACAAATAAGACATTTTTGCCGACATTGCCAACATCATCATCATCACCATCATCACTGTCATCATCTTTACCCTCAGGTCTACCGCATACCGGAAGTGCTTTAAATTTTCAAATGTTGGCGCAAATTTTAGTAACATGTTTGCGTCAGGCCAAGAGCAACGAACAATTCCGTACATTGTCACGTTGTCAACAGGAAACGATTTTACATTCTGTGTGGAGTGAATGTTTTGTATTGCGGGCTTCACATTGGACACTCGATATAACAGCGGTATTTGAAGCCTGTGGAGATGTGGTTTTGCAGCGCATCATTGACGAGGCAAAACAATTAAAGGCCGATGTTATGGAATTAAATTTCTTAGAGACTTTAATATTGTGTCGAAAGGGTATGTGTGATTTTATTAAATTTAAATATTATTTTTTAAAGTGCAATTTAATATTTAGTTAATTGTAATATGTAATGATCGACCATGTTGGTCATCATATACATATGTACATTAGGGTAACCAGATTGTATAGAGAAGTAATAATGTAGTGATGTTCCTATAGTCTTGTCTATTTTCTTGTCTATAGTCTAGTCTATAGTCTAGTCTATAGTCTAGTCTATAGTCTAGTCAATAGTCTTGTCTATGGTCTTGTCTATAGTCTAGTCTATAGTCTAGTATATAGTCTTGTCTATAGTCTAGTCTAGAGTCTAGTCTATAGTCAAGTCCATAGTCTAGTCTATAGTCAAGTCCATAGTCTAGTCTATAGTCTAGTCTATAGTCTAGTCTATAGTCTAGTCTATAGTCTAGTCTATAGTCTAGTCTATAGTCTAGTCTATAGTCTAGTCTATAGTCTAGTCTATAGTCTAGTCTATAGTCTAGTCTATAGTCTATAGTCTATAGTCTAGTCTATAGTCTAGTCTATAGTCTAGTCTATAGTCTAGTCTATAGTCTAGTCTATAGTCTAGTCTATAGTCTAGTCTATAGTCTAGTTTATAGTCTACTATAGTCTAGTCTATATCTAGTCTATAGTCTAGTCTATAGTCTAGTCTATAGTCTAGTCTATAGTCTAGTCTATAGTCTAGTCTATAGTCTAGTCTATAGTCTAGTCTATAGTCTAGTCTATAGTCTAGTCTATAGTCTAGTCTATAGTCTAGTCTAGTCTAGTCTATAGTCTAGTCTATAGTCTAGTCTATAGTCTAGTCTATAGTCTAGTCTATAGTCTAGTCTATAGTCTAGTCTATAGTCTAGTCTATAGTCTAGTCTATAGTCTAGTCTATAGTCTAGTTATAGTCTAGTAGTCTAGTCTATAGTCTAGTCTAGTCTAGTCTATAGTCTAGTCTATAGTCTAGTCTATAGTCTAGTCTATAGTCTAGTCTATAGTCTAGTCTATAGTCTAGTCTATAGTCTAGTCTATAGTCTAGTCTATAGTCTAGTCTATAGTCTAGTCTATAGTCTAGTCTATAGTCTAGTCTTAGTCCTAGTCTATAGTCTAGTCCTATAGTCTAGTCTATAGTCTAGTCTATAGTCTAGTCTATAGTCTAGTCTATAGTCTAGTCTATAGTCTAGTCTATAGTCTAGTCTATAGTCTAGTCTATAGTCTAGGTCTATAGTCTAGTCTATAGTCTAGTCTATAGTCTAGTCTATAGTCTAGTATAGTCTAGTCTATAGTCTAGTCTATAGTCTAGTCTATAGTCTAGTCTATAGTAGTCTATAGTCTAGTCTAGTAGTCTATAGTCTAGTCTATAGTCTAGTCTATAGTCTAGTCTATAGTCTAGTCTATAGTCTAGTCTATAGTCTAGTCTATAGTCTAGTCTATAGTCTAGTCTATAGTCTAGTCTATAGTCTAGTCTATAGTCTAGTCTATAGTCTAGTCTATAGTCTAGTCTATAGTCTAGTCTATAGTCTAGTCTATAGTCTAGTCTATAGTCTAGTCTATAGTCTAGTCTATAGTCTAGTCTATAGTCTAGTCTATAGTCTAGTCTATAGTCTAGTCTATAGTCTAGTCTATAGTCTAGTCTATAGTCTAGTCTAGTCTATAGTCTAGTCTATAGTCTAGTCTAGTCTAGTCTATAGTCTAGTCTATAGTCTAGTCTATAGTCTAGTCTATAGTCTAGTCTATAGTCTAGTCTATAGTCTAGTCTATAGTCTAGTCTAGTCTAGTCTATAGTCTAGTCTAGTCTAGTCTTTAGTCTAGTCTTTAGTCTAGTCTTTAGTCTAGTCTTTAGTCTAGTCTTTAGTCTAGTCTTTAGTCTAGTCTTTAGTCTAGTCTTTAGTCTAGTCTTAGTCTAGTCTTTAGTCTAGTCTTTAGTCTAGTCTTTAGTCTAGTCTTTAGTCTAGTCTTTAGTCTAGTCTTTAGTCTAGTCTATTAGTCTAGTTTATAGTCTAGTCTTATAGTCTAGTCTATAGTCTAGTCTATAGTCTAGTCTATAGTCTAGTCTATAGTCTAGTCTATAGTCTAGTCTATAGTCTAGTCTATAGTCTAGTCTATAGTCTAGTCTATAGTCTAGTCTATAGTCTAGTCTATAGTCTAGTCTAGTCTAGTCTATAGTCTAGTCTATAGTCTAGTCTATAGTCTAGTCTATAGTCTAGTCTATAGTCTAGTCTATAGTCTAGTCTATAGTCTAGTCTATAGTCTAGTCTATAGTCTAGTCTATAGTCTAGTCTATAGTCTAGTCTAGTCTAGTCTAGTCTAGTCTATAGTCTAGTCTATAGTCTAGTCTATAGTCTAGTCTATAGTCTAGTCTATGGTCTAGTCTATAGTCTAGTCTATAGTCTAGTCTATAGTCTTGTCTATAGTCTAGTCTATAGTCTAGAGTATAGTCTAGTCTATAGTCTAGTCTATAGTCTAGTCTAGAGTCTAGTCTATAGTCTAGTCTAGTCTATAGTCTAGTCTATAGTCTAGTCTATAGTCTAGTCTAGTCTATAGTCTAGTCTATAGTCTAGTCTATAGTCTAGTCTATAGACTAGTCTATAGTCTAGTCTATAGTCTAGTCTATAGTCTAGTCTATAGTCTAGTCTATAGTCTAGTCTATAGTCTAGTCTATAGTCTGGTCTATAGTCTAGTCTATAGTCTAGTCTATAGTCTGGTCTATAGTCTAGTCTATAGTCTAGTCTATAATCTAGTCTATAGTCTAGTTTATAGTCTAGTCTATAGTCTAGTCTATAGTCTAGTCTATAGTCTAGTCTATAGTCTTGTCTCTAGTCTAGTCTATAGTCTAGTCTATAGTCTAGTCTATAGTCTTTTCTATAGTCTAGTCTATAGTCTAGTCTATAGTCTAGTCTATAGTCTAGTCTATAGTCTAATATATAGTCTAGTCTATAGTCTAGTCTATAGTCTAGTCTATAGTCTAGTCTATAGTCTAGTCTACAGTCTAGTCTATAGTCTAGTCTATAGTCTAGTCTATATTCTAGTCTATAGTCTAGTCTATAGTCTAGTTTATAGTCTAGTCTATGGTCTAGTCTATAGTCTAGTCAAGTCTATAGTCTAGTCTATGGTATAGCCTATGGTCTAGTTTCTTTTTTTTAAGAAATAATACATTATTGCAATTTTATTTATTTCCAGAATATGCAATAAATTCCGAATATGCCTCATTATTGGAGTCATATACAAATAATGCTCTATTGGCACTGGCTCGCTATACAGCCCAACAATCCCATTGGCTGCGTTTCGGTTCATTACTTTTGGCTTTGCGACAATTATCCTTGAGACGTTATGAATGCACATTAACTGGCTTATTTCGTAATATAGTCAAGGACATATTAAAAACTCTTTAATTAATTCAATTAATGTTATTACAACATGTCAATTTTTTTCTCCACGAAAACAAATATTTTATAAACAGCATTTTATAAATACTATATAAACAAAAGTGATGCGTATGTGTGTGTGTGTGTTTTTTTAAATAATTAATATAATTTGTTATCTCATAAATTAAGGCGATTTTTTTAACATTTAGTTAATATGGATTATATTTTGTTGTTGACTTTTTTTTGCGGAATATTAGTAATTATTAGATTTTGTCGTATATTAAGTGTATATAAATAATGGCAAAAAATAATAAAAATAATTAAATATACAATATAAAATAAATTGTTTTTAGATTTAAAATAAATCACATTTAAATTTAAATTGATTTAAACAATTAATCCAGCTACTGTGGTAATTTAAGTATAATTTGTTTGCTTTGATTAAAAATAATATTTAATTTGCCGAACAGGATGATATGGAATATAGGCCAGTTTTATTGGAAAAGACTATATAGTCATGATTTTCTGAATGATAGAATTATAACACTACCAACTAGCTTATAAGGAGGGGTAGCTAAATAATTCGGTTTCAGGTATATATGTATATACGTATGAAGATCTTGTTCTGTCTGTCTTTCTGCTTGGATTCACTATATACTTACGAATATCTTTTAAAAATTTGAACAAGTAAAAGTCATCCAATTAATTTTTTTTTAATTTTTCTACTATATCTTTTATTTTTAGTTTTTCATTATTAATATTAGTTTTGGTAATACATTTTACACTTAAAATTTAAAGTTAAATTTTAACATTATTTGAAATATTCTTTTTAAATACGATTTTTTTGGTAACGCTAAATCATTCTTTGGTATTGGAAAAAGTTTGGATTCTTCTTTGTTTTAAATATTTTAAAGTTTCGTTTAACACATTTTATAGTTTTTATTTTTGGTTTCTTACTAGGACTAGAAAAATTCATTAACAGTTTTTTTCTTTTTTTTGTAGATTTTTGGTTTTCACATATAAAAAAGGTTTTGTTATTTTTTTAGGTTTAGATTTATAAAAAATTTTAAATATCTTCATTTTTTTCATTTAAATTTCATATTTTTTTTTTAATATTAACTTTAAGTTAGAGTTTATCTGGTAGTTTAATACACAAAAATTTGTTAACTAAAGTTTAATTTAATTGAAAAGTTGTTAAAACTATATTAGTATATATATTTATATTATTGGAAAACAATTTAGTTAGTTATTGAGTTAGTTACTAGTAGATAGTTATTTAGTTAGTTACATGGTACTTAACAATTAACATTTACTACATTAGAAATATTGTTTTTCTATTAGTTTTTTTTAAAGATTTTTTTTAAGGAATTTTTACATAAATAACGATTGTCTTGTGAAGAAATTAAAAAGAAAATATAATTGTTTTCTGTTAGTTAATATGGTATGTAAATAAATATTTATTATTTCAATAGTTAAAGATTTTTTATAAAAATTAAACAACTTACATGGAAGTAGATTATATATATTTTTTAACTATTTATGGGGTTTTACCCTACACCTAAATAGAGAATCATTTGACTGATCTTATTGGAGCAGAGCAATAATGGACCTATAACTTTGGTTATGACCCGTAACCTAAAAACATTTATTGACTAATCAATCGAGTCTATGGTCTTGCCTATTGACTAGTCTATGGTGTGGCCTATTAACTAGTCGAATGAGAAATCTGTGGATCAGTCCTTTGAACATTTATGTAGTAGTCTATTGACCAGTTATTGGACTTTTCTATTGACATGTCGGTGAACTAGTCTATTGATAAACTATTGGACTATGATCTATTCATTTGACTAAACTTTTGTCTAGCAAATTGACAACTTTGACTAGTTTATAATGTAGTCTATTTACAGATTCTCGGATTATTCTATTGAGAAGTTAGTGAACTAGTGTATTGGCAATATTGTAGACCAGTTAGTTGACTAGTTTGTAGACTAGTCATTAGGCTAGACTCTAGTCTTTTGTCTATTCTTTGGATTAGTCGTTTGACCAGAATTCGCACAATTCTATTGACAGTCTTGACTTTCATAATGTGATAGTGGATCATGAAGAACATAGCAGATAATGGGGATGGTCTTATTGGGTTGTCAAAAGAATTTGGTCTAGTCTTTTTTCTAGAATATTGATTAGTCTTAGTCAGGTTTTTGGATTATTCTATTAACAAGTTTGTTGACTACCTTGTGGAACAGTCCGTTGACTGGTTTATGGACTAGTATTTTGGCTAGACTATAGTCTAGTATTTATCTAATCTTTACACTAGTCGATTGACAAGTATTTCGACAATTCTATTGACAGTCTTTATTTAGCGTTCACGACGTGATAGTGACTATTCCATAATCGATTCTATTGACAGCTCTTTGAATTACTCTATTGTCAAGTTTGTAAACTAGTCTATTGGTAAGTTTGTAGACCAGTTAGTTGACTAGTTTGTGGAATAGTCTGTTGACTGGTTTATGGACTAGTCTAATATACTAGTCTTTTGTCTAACCTTTCAATAGTCGATTCACAAGTATTTGGAAAAAACTTGAAGTTGATTACGTGATAGTGTATCATGAAGAACAGGTACTTTATTGTAAAACCAGTGTTACTCGGAAGTTATGGAAGTTGGCTCTGCTTTCTGACAAGAAGCATAACAGCAGATTGTAAAGGAAATTTTCCTCTCAATGGTGACAAGTTGAGCGAATGTTCTTCTCGAAGATATACTGAAGGAGTAAGAGAAAGCAAAGAAAAGGACATATATTGTCAGGATAAACAGATAGAATATCGTTAAAATCGAAAGAATTTTTGATCCTGTCAAAATTTGTTTTGAGAGAGTTCTTTCTGGAAGAACAACAGGCGAAATCTGCAGCCAACTGTGCTAATACTCATGCCTGTAGAAAGTTAGTGGACTTATCCACTAGGCTAATGCCCCCAATTCCGGAAAACAGAAGGGCATTAACCAGCCATTTAAACCATATAGAACTTATAGCACCAGGTGAAAAAAGATGACAGAGGAACTTCGAGCTGACTTCCTTAAAATTATTAATTAAGGAAACAGTTCTCAAGGAAATCGGTCCTAAATGTCAAAGAGCCACGATTCTCTGATTTATTAAAAAATTACTAAGAGAATACCATTAAGTGAATTACATCTAAAGATGAAAGCTCTTCAGATGGACAAAAAAGATGAAGAAATTATAGATTATTATAGAGAAATTATATTCTTTGTATGAAAAGATCAGTACCGATCTATGGCAATTAATCAAGGGTGGATTCCACCCATCGTTTGTTCGTTGGAAACTTTTTATAGACTAATGGAGGAATCTGAAGGGACTTCACATTCGTTTGGAATTAGAAATTTCTTAGTTGCTTGGGGAAGGTGAGGCTGTTGTCCATTTTGGTTTGATACTACGAGGTTCTGATTTTCAACTTTTTTATATCTTAAAAGCGATCTTCTGAATTATCGATCAAGTCTCTCTTGATGGTACGATTTCATCAGCCATTAGGTCGATTGCAATATTTTTTTGTTCTTGGTACTATCAGATTCCGGACTGTGAATAACCTTCGGAGGTAAGACTATGGCATAAATCTCTGAACCACCACTCTCACAGATCGGTAGACAGGTAAGTAATTATCGATTCTTGCCTTGGTACTTCCAGCCAATAGACCTTTAATACTAAGTATTATTAAAATTCTTTTTTCATCATCAAGAGATCCAAAATATTTTGAGAAACAACCTTAAACAAAGCCGCTTTGAAATAAATAAGTTTCTTAAAAATGTTCGAAGAAGAAAAGGTATCATAAAAGAATTTTTTCATATTACAGTCCATAGTTGTTGCAGGTGTAATTTCTAAAAAGGTGTAGGGTATTTTCTAATCGGCATTGTCCGACTTTCATATTTGTTTTTTATACGTAAATTTTTCTTAAATTTTAACAATTTCTTACTTAATTAAACACTTTCATTACATAAACTTTCTATATGCATTTTAATATAATAACATCTCATGGTTAAATAAAAATACAAAAAAATAAATTGTACTTTTATGCTAAAAAGCCCATTACTTATAAGGTACCATTTCTTCTTAATTATAAAGCCATTCAAATTTCTAGTAATAAGTCGTATCATTTCATAAAATTGCTAAAGTAGGATCAAACAAAAAATAACAAAAACACCTTGCTAAATTTTCTAAATTAAAATTCTTTTAAATAAAAATTAAATTTAAACCGTATCCTACCTGCTGATCAATGCCTCAACATTAAGCATTATTTCTGGTTTCTTTAAATTACCACTAGGCTCCTCTATTGGTGTCGTAGTATTCGAATTAACCGAAGCTGTTGTGGTGGCTGTAGACGCATCTGTAGTTGGACTTTCCATAATGGTGCAATTATAGGCCACACCATTCAGAGATCTGGAAGGAGCAGGTGAGGTAGGTGCCGATAGTAGTGTGGGTGGTGGTGACATTGAGGTCAAGAGACCACTTTTACGTTTTGTTACATTTTGTACCGGTGGTGATTGAGCTTCTATGGTGGAGGGAGGACTACGATTAATGTTACTATCTAAACTACTGTGTTGTTGTGATGAAGCTGGCGATAAGGGTATCTCTTCAATTTTCTCCAGATCTTGTGCTATAGAAGTGGAATTTTGTTTGTGTACCCTGGTGAGAGTACCCTTGGGACTTCTGGCCGTATCATGCAGTATAGGTATTTCCAGTGTTGAAGATTTATTCGATAACGATAGCGGTAGGGAAGATTGTAAGGAAGACTGATGATGCTGATGATGTTGGTGTTCAGATTTCGATTGTGTATCGTCACGATCCAAACTAAATTGACGTCGTAGTAAACGTGAAGAACCGGGTTTTTCAAATCTACCCGTTACCGAATGAAAACTATTAGCCGCCGTTGTACCAACACCACCCACACCACTACTATACAAATATTTGCCATCATAGAATTGTGTCAGATTACTTTCACTTGGACTCAAGCATTTATAATGATTATAGGGTGAACTAAGATCCATCATTTCCTCAATTTTCTTATAAAGTCTCGATGATGATCCCGCCGCTGATGTGGGTAAACGATTGAAATTTGAAGGATTTAATAGATTATCGGTTGCAATATCAGTTATCTTTCTAGGTTGTGGTGAGTTACTGGGCGTTTTAGTGGGAAACTCTGGACACAGTGTCATATTGGGACTAATGGTATTGGTTGAATTGGAATCCAGTGAATAGGAATTGGGTAGATTTGAGGATGAACAAACATCAACATTTGTGGGTGGTGTAATTTCAACTTTAACCTCAACCGACTCACCGGCCAGAGAGGAGGATTGGCTGGAAGATGGATTTGTACTATTACGTGATTTGTTGGCCTGAGCCTTGAGTGTGATCGAGTTGCGTATCAATGATTCATCTAAACTGAAATGAGAACGACAACGAAATTTAGAGGAAATTGCATTTTAATAGGTGGTTTATAGAATTTTTTGTTAATTTTTAGAATTAAAAAAAAAAAAAATTTACTTTTTAGCAAAACCTACCCATGTGACTCTCTGTATACATTAAAGGAAAGCATGTTTTAATAAAAAATTAGTTTGAGGAAAAAATAAACATTTCTTTATAAAAAAAACTGAAAGACATTAATAAAAAACTTACCCTATCGGTGGGGGATTTGGCAAAGGTTTGTCGAAACCTTTCTTGCCTAACAACCAAAATGTATTCATCATGCCTTTACCCTTAATATCTATAAGACCCCTGGGTTCTATCATATAGCCACCACGAGCTTCTAAACGATTACGTGTCTCCTGAGACATGTGAATGCGCCAAGAGGAACCTAAATTTAGGACAAAATTAAATTAACTATTTACTAAATAAAGTTTACAAATTCTACCAGTCGATTCCATTCTCGAGGCGGTATTTACTGTATCACCAAATAAACAATACCGAGGCATAGTTAAACCAACCACCCCCGCACAGCAGGGACCGGTATGTAGACCTATTCTTAATTGTAGCGGCACTCCTGGTAAATGTTTAACATTAAAACGGCCACTTTGATGCAGTAAATCTAAAGCCATGGTGGCAATTTGCTCAGCATGATCGGGTGTACGTACGGGTATGCCACTAACAACCATATAAGCATCACCAATGGTTTCAACCTGTAAAGAAAGGGTGAGCGAGGCACCCATAGAAAGATATGTAAATGTGGAAACTAGACGACAGCCTTACCTTGTAAACATTATAAGCATTGATGGTAGCATCAAATATCGTATAGAGATCATTTAAAAGATCAACAACCTGTACCGGTGTACAATGAGCAGCTATTGTTGTAAAACCAACAATATCACTGAAATATATTGTAACATCCGAAAATTCTTCGGGCTCAACGGCTAAGCCCATTTTTAGTTTTTCAGCTACCGAACTAAGGTGGAAATATACAAATTTTAATTTAAAAAAATAAACTTTAAATTCAAACTCCTTCTCACCTCGGCAACATTCTGTTTAACAGCTGCTCAGTCTTTTTTCTTTCAATATCCAATTGTTCGGTTCTCTCACGTATCAATTCTTCCAAATTATTTGAATATTTCTCTAACATTTGAAACATCGTATCGACAAAATTCACTTTACGTCCATGATTTAACAATTTAAAACGTTCATAAACTCTATAATAGGTTTTTACAACATGATTGTTGTGGTAAAAGAAAATTATTGTTATTTTTGTATTGTTTTTATATTTTGTTTTTTCCGTTATATAGAAGAATTTTTTATTATTATTTTAATATAAAAAATGTGTCATCATCAGATTTAAATGATGGGAGAAAAAGTGTGAGTTATTTAGTCAACATCACCAGTGTCATCATCATCATCATTATTATTGACAACATCATCGCATCATTGTATTTGTATTTATAGCAAACAAACAGCAGCGACATTGACATCGTCGTCAATCATTTATTGTTGAGTGTGAAGACAAGTCACATTGTTCCAAACAGGGCAAACATACACACGAACACAGAGTTATATTTAATACACAAATACCGTTACATACAGACAGGAATACAAATATAGAGTTACCCATTTACCCATCCATGTAAGCGACGAGGTTTAAAAATACAAAAAAGGAAAACAGAACAACAGTAATAAATATGAAAATCGATAGAACAAAAAACGTTAAAAAAGTATTTAATATGTGTATGTATGTGAATTTAAGTACGAGTAAAGTTATATAGGAAAAAATAAAAGCCTTTTAATACAATATAAAGTGATTGAAATTTCAGGGTTTGGAAATAATAACTTAAAACTAAAAATAACTACAATTGAACTAACTACTAACTAACTACTAACTAACTAACTAACTACTAACTAACTAACTAACTAACTAACTAACTAACTAACTAACTAACTACTACTAACTAACTAACTACTAACTAACTAACTAACTAACTAACTAACTAACTAACTAACTAACTAACTAACTAACTAACTAACTAACTAACTAACTAACTACTAACTAACTAACTAACTAACTAACTAACTAACTACTAACTAACTAACTAACTAACTAACTAACTAACTAACTAACTAACTAACTAACTAACTACTAACTAACTAACTAACTAACTAACTAACTAACTAACTACTAACTAACTAACTAACTAACTACTAACTAACTAACTAACTACTAACTAACTAACTACTAACTAACTAACTAACTAACTAACTAACTAACTAACTAACTACTAACTAACTAACTAACTAACTAACTAACTAACTAACTAACTAACTAACTAACTAACTAACTAACTAACTAACTAACTAACTAACTAACTAACTAACTACTAACTAACTAACTAACTAACTAACTAACTAACTAACTAACTAACTAACTAACTAACTACTAACTAACTAACTAACTAACTAACTAACTAACTAACTAACTAACTAACTAACTAACTAACTAACTAACTAACTAACTACTAACTAACTAACTAACTAACTAACTAACTAACTAACTAACTAACTAACTAACTAACTAACTAACTAACTAACTAACTACTAACTACTAACTAACTAACTAACTAACTAACTAACTAACTAACTAACTAACTAACTAACTAACTACTAACTAACTAACTAACTAACTAACTAACTAACTAACTACTAACTAACTAACTAACTAACTACTAACTAACTAACTACCTAACTAACTAACTAACTAACTAACTAACTAACTAACTAACTAACTAACTAACTAACTAACTAACTAACTAACTAACTAACTAACTAACTAACTAACTAACTAACTACTAACTAACTAACTAACTAACTAACTACTAACTAACTAACTAACTAACTAACTAACTAACTAACTACTAACTAACTACTAACTAACTAACTAACTAACTAACTAACTAACTAACTAACTAACTAACTACTAACTAACTAACTAACTAACTAACTAACTAACTAACTAACTAACTAACTAACTAACTAACTAACTAACTAACTAACTAACTAACTAACTAACTAACTAACTAACTAACTACTAACTAACTAACTAACTAACTAACTAACTAACTAACTACTAACTAACTAACTAACTAACTACTAATTTTGAACAAAAAATTACTTGAATGAAATTTGAGTCAACTCAGATGAAATTGGCAAAAGTTAATTGCAATTCATTTCTAATCTAAATAAATTTATCGAACGAATTCAAATTCGTTTCTAATTCCAGTTAATTTTTCATTTTTAAGAAAAATTTTTGCAAATCCATTTGAATTGAAAATTAATTGAAAATCATTTCTGCATAATTCATTTCAATTTATTAAAATTTCATTCAATTCTTTTATGAATAATTCGAGAATTCATAACGAATCAAAAATGACTTAAAACGACTTGTTTCTTATTATAATTAAAGATTACCAATTACAATTTTCCAGCTAAATCTCTAAAAAATGTTAAACTTTAAAATCTTTTCCCAAACCCTGCCTTTAAAACACTATATTTTAATCACATACTCTACATGCATGTAACACCAACATCAACACCATTACAAACACTTACGAATTGAAATCTGGTCGCATTTCTGGTTGTTCCGCCCAACATTGACGCATTATATTAATCGCCTCCGGTGGTGCAGCACCCTTTGATACCGAAGGTCTTATTAAAGGTGGTGGTTTTTTTATTTTCGCTATTATTTCCTCAGCCGACAGCGACAACATACAGTACGGTTCACCGCGCACCACCACTTCTTGCATTATTATGCCAAACGAATAGACATCACCGGCCTGAGTACCCAATATTCTAGCACCATGATGATGGTGATGGTGGTGCTGATGATTTTGAGGTTTCAGTGAACGCAACAACTCTGGAGCTGTCCAGAGTAGTTCTTTGTAGTTGCGTGGTGGTAGTGTTAAACCTTGAGCCTCATAGAATAGAGGTAAGCCGTAATCAGTTATTTTAAGTACCCAACGTGCATCAACAACACAATTACGTGACGTTAATGTACCATGAACACGCAGTGGTGAGGCATGCAAGTAACGCATGCCACGTACTAAGTCTGTTAGGAGACTTAAACGAAATGACCAGTCTAATTTGATTTCATCCATGATGAGGACATCTTGCAGTGAACCACGTGAGCAATAGTCGAAAACCATGGCCGTGCGACTGGGATCGGCCAGCCAGCCTATTAGGGGATTAATGTTTTCATGTCTCAGACCATGAGCCATTACCAGTAAGTCCATGGCTTTGGCTTTCAATTCATTGGAACCATTTAAAGGCACCTCCTTAAGTTGCACTAGATCACCATTATATCTGGCTCTCATGTCCAGCAAGGCGGGATTATGTCTAGCCAAACTGGCCGAACCAGAACTAGTTTTACCATTAACTGTGGCTGTTGTGGAATTATTGGCAGCACCTGGTATTATAAAGCCCAGATTTTTTAAAGAACCTATAGAACCCTTTAACAAATCCGGCTTGTCCACCTCCGGACCACCAAACTCTTGTAATTGTTGCAGCCAACAGCACAGCATGGCTTCAATGCCCTCATCCACCTGTAAGGGAATTAAAAGAATTATGAATATCATGTTTTTGCTAGAGTTGTTTAAGTATGTGTTAAATAATCCACTTACTCTACGTGAATCCACCGGGAATACAAAATCATTTGCAGATAATACAATTTTATTAGGTCCTTTAGATAAACGTTTGCGTAATAAATAATTTCTGTAAGACATAAATATAGAAACAACATAAATATTATACGAACATGATTTTTCTTTTCTGTTATTTTGTTCTTGTTTTAAGGATAAATGTGCAATAAAAGAAGTTGTTTTTATTATAAACGTATAGAATGAAAAGGATATGACTATGACGTATGAGTAATATTTAATTTGTTTTGTCATATTTATCATACGTCGAGGTGACTAAACATATTTTTATATTTATTACACGTAGTCTTATTTAAAAAGGAATATTTGTTGAATAAATTGTGGGATAAAAAATTATTTAGGGTTATAAAGGAATATAAATATTAAAGAAAGGGAATATGAATTGACAAAAAAAATTAGAAAATGGTTCGTACAACTAAGACAGAATTGTGTTTTAATAAAAATTAAAAAAATACATTAATTTCGTAAGTCTTTCATAAATTATATTAAGTAATATTGTGATATTTTTAAATGGGATTATTTTTGGGCTTTAAATTATATATTTGAACCCCAAAGATTGTGTTTTAATTTCTATTAAAAGTACAGTTGAACTAACCAATGATTGATCTTTAAACTGTAATATTACGGTTCTAGTTTTAAAAAATCACGATTAAATTACTTTTCACACACCATTGGCAAAATTTTAAACTGTATTTTAGAAAATTCCCATAAAAATTGAATTATATTATTAAATTTTACTTTTAGTACTTAAACTGTAAATCTCAGTTTTTTAGTACAAAGTACTAATTTATCGTTTTTATACCCTACAACTGTTTGGTTTGTACTGATGTTTATAACACACAAAAATATTCGACCTATATCCACCTTAAAGTATACCAATTGGCTTAGAATCATTTTCTGAGTAGATTAAGCAATGTCCGTCTGTTCTTCCGTCCGTCCGTCCATCTGGCTGGATATCCATGTAAACCTTGTGCTCAAGGTACAGGTGGTAATTTTCAATGAAATTTATTACAAGGACGAAGCCTATTAAAAATAGTTAAAATCGGTCCATTATTTTACCTAGCCCCCATACAACAGAACCCCCCGAAAAGGACCTTTGAGTTCATAATTATCTTAACAATATATACCTGTATCTTGATAAATAATCGGCGCAAATAAGTTTTATACAAGCCTTGATGACCTTGCCAAATTTCATAAAGATCGGGCCTCATTTGACCCTAGCTCCCATACAAAGCTCCTTCAGAATATGACTTGAATGTTCAAAATTCACATATAAACACTAATATCGTAATGAATTTCAGCACAAGTAAATATTATATAATTATAAATCTAATCACAAAATTTTCTCGGTATCGGTCCATATTTGCACCTAGCCCCCATATAAACCCTCTTTCAGAAAATTAGTTTTTCGTTCATAAATTGCTTAAATGTATCGGAAACAAGATTATATTGAAGTTAAATACTTTATTATGAAAAAAAATCACATTTAATATTCATAACTGGTGTAGGGTATCATATGGTTGGCCACGCCTGACTATACTTTCTTACTTGTTAGTACTAAACTTTTGAAAGTGTCTAGTTATTGATTCTGAACACTATATTGCACATCCTACCTATAGATCTGCAAATAATGGCCATATCTACTTGCAGCGCAGTAGGGCTTAACTCATCCGGAAGTTGGATATCAAGAACACATGGACACGCTAAGATTTTAAGATTATTACCTCCAATCATGAACCAACCATCCGACTATATTACCCCACATACGGACTTTGATAGAGTCTTCAAAGTCAGAGTTCTTTCCAGGAGCGAGTGGTGTAGAGGTAACCTACCGAGAGAATCTTTCTAAAATGAATTGCGGTGTTGGTTCTGGTGTCTTCTGTGAAGAAGTTTAGGTAAGTATATTCCACCGTCTTCCCAACAACTCTAGTATCTTTCAGGCTGAAATATTTGCGATAATGTCAGGCTGTAGGGTATTACATGACCTCAATATTCGCGGCAACATAGGAATCTTTGTCGATAGTCAAGCGGCACTTCTCTCACTAAACTCTTATACTACCGTTCCCTATTAGTTAGAAAATGCAAGAAGGATTTGTCATTTGGGTCGCCTGTCTGACATTACTCTTGTTTGGGTCCCTGCGCATAGGGACTACTATGGTAATGAATGAGCTTGCCAGAAAGGGATCTGACATTTCCAATGCCGTTTCAGTAGCAACTCCGTTAAGTTTTATCAAGCAATATCCTCAGACATGCAAGTCGACTTGGGCTCCCTTTCAATGATCACTGTCGCAGTTGCAAACATAGGGAAAAGGAAGAAACGGTCTTCCATCTCCTCTGTGAATGCCCTGCTCTGGCTGTAAAGAGAAACCGCTTCCTTGGCAATTACTTCATATCTAACCTTGGTGAGATATCTGAGTCTAGGCTTAATGATATCCTCAAATTTCTCACAACTTCAGGCTGGATCTAATACTATAAATACTTCATCTGCCGAGTGGAGTCAAAACGGAGTCTCTTCGATTCTACTTGAAGGTTCGCGCGCAGTGGACTACAACGTTAACCAACCAACCTAGTTATTGATCTTTAAGTATTATTTATATAACAAAGTAGTACGAACGTCAGACCTAGAATCTTAGCCTATGATTACTTTTAGTACAAAATTTAGAGATGTGAGTATTTAAGTACTTAAATCTAATATTAGTACTAAAACCGTGAGTTCTTTGTAGTATTTTTTTGGCAAAAATCTTTAGTTTTTTATTTGATCGACAACATTTAGAATATAGCATTGAATTTTTTAGTACTGCGACTTTAATTTTGCACATATTTTTCAAAAATATCACATCGCGAGTACTTTGAGTACCAATTTTTTAATACTTTTAGTACTAAATTTAATTAGGCATAGAAATATTCTATTTTGTGTACTAAATATTGGCTATCAATTTTTGATCGTGTGTACTTTTAATAGTAAACTTCGTAATGGTGATCTTTTAGTACTAAACATTTATTCGTGCATCTCTTTTAATCTATTTTTTATTGACGGTACATTTAATACTAAATTTATGATTGTCGTTGATAATTTACCACTAAGCATTGAATCGTGGATCTTTTAGTACTAAATATCTAATTAAGAGTAATTCTAGTACTAAACATCTACCAGTTGATGAACTTTGAGTCGATTCCTTAAATAGTAAATCTTTTAGTACGACATATTTTATTGAGAATACTTTTAGTACTAAATTTCTAATCGTTTAGTGTTTTTAGAACCATTTTTTGATCGTGAATACTTTGATTATTAACAGTTCTTTTCTATTAGCAAAGCAATCCAAATTTCTCAAATGATTATTTAATATTTGATTTAGAACTTTGCTTGTAGCATGTTAGTACTAAATATTTAAGTACTAAATTTATAATTGTGAGCACTTTTAGCAAGTGATCGTGGTAAATTTTTCTTTAGTTTTTGCTGGGTGTTGTTTTGTTGCATTTAGTACTAAAATACTCTATTCATTTAAGCAGTTTTTTTCCCCAATGACTTTTCTTTATAAAAAATCCTCAATTAGTTACTCATTCTTTTGTTCGCTTCATTTTAAGAGATCAACAAACAATTTATTCCCTTTAAGTAAGACATATTATCATAAAAAAATATTCTATAGTCTTTTAAATGGCAATGACTTTACCTGATTCTTCAATTATTTTTTATGTCTTTGAAATACATAGTATATGTATTTTTCCTGCAAATCATGGTGACTTGTAGAACTAACGATAAATACCATTTCATTTCATAATTATATTTCTAATAGTTTGAATGGTTTTTCTGCATTATAATGATTATTAAAAACATCCTAGTCTGTTACAGTGTGAAATTTGATGTTTTTTTCTTTGGTGAATTATAAAAACAAAGAAAATCATACAAAATTCAGACAGTAGAATAGCTGAAATGAACAGCAACTATTAAACAAAGAAAAACTACATTTAACATGAAACAATAGCAGTCATTGTATGAAATTTTGCTGTATAATTTATGAGTTGTATGTGTATGGAGAGCGAGAGTGAAGGAAAAAGAGAGAGACAAAAGAAAGGTTTTTACTGTAATAATTATATTTTGTAAATGTAGAGTTTAACAAGTCAGAGTTCTATATTCGACAGTGCCGAATCTTATATACCTTTCACCATAGTGTATTAAAGAAATGAACATATTTTATTACAAAAAATGTCTCGAATTTTTGCTCATATCTACATTATTTAAGAACTGATTTTGCTGATTTTAAATAGAAAACTTCTTGAAACTAGGTCTAACAGAATTGTTAAAGATTTGGGTCCCGAAGATATCTGATGTCTTCAG